TCTTGGTAGTGTTAATATGATACAACATTTGATGTAGTTTCCTACAAATATGGAAACATGTATCTCTTCTCAAATAGTAGAATCAATATATTTCTTTACTATAGTTGGATAATAAAGTTATTTGAAAAAAGTGTTCATGTGTCTTATTTATTTTGTGGATTGGGTGATGGTTTAGGTTCTGAAATGAGTCAAGATTTTTGTGAATTTTATGTTGTCCTCCTTCATTTCCTCCATTGAGATCATTCTGCCCCACACTGTTTGCAGAGATTTAATTAAATGGCTATTGTTAATGTTAATAAGAGATGTGTCATGAAATCGCTCTGCATCACAGATTGGTTGCAGCTTTATTGTACTTTGGGCTGTGGACCTTTTGTCTTGTCCTGCGTGTAGCTAACCACTCACCCATATATTTGTTATCATTAATAAGCCTTCCTGGAAATGGAGCAGAGTCTGCCCTGTTATTACTACTAATGCTTTCCAGAATTATAATTCTCTCCAGACTAAAGACCTGTTTCTTCTTCATACTATACATCACCAAAGAGCTTCACTTAGGGCTGATGACTGTTAATTATGTCTCTTGATTACAAAATCTTTTTTTCTGGCACATTCCACCATGCTTGTCTTTATTGATGTGCTCTGTGTGTGTGTGTGTGTGTATGTGTTCATTCATGCAGGTGGAAATGTCTCACTTTAGAAGGGAAATGTAATGCCATAATGTATTTTTGATCATCATTGCTATCACCCATATATGATGCATTTTTTTCTAATAAATATAGAGAGGAAATCATTTTTACGTTTTATTGAATTATTTTTTTCTTACAACATGATAAGTGTAAGAATTTGATTTTTGTTTTAAAGAGAGAAAAGTACACGGTAGCTGTATTATCTCAGGCGACCTGTGTGGCTCCATTTCACCCCAGAACACAAAAGGATGGACTCATCATCTGATTGGATTAATGTTTCAAATGTTGAACTTCACAACTTGAACATGTATCATGGAATCTAAGCCTTTCCTTTCAGCAAACAATTCCTTTCTAAATAATAATAGTTTGTTTTTAAGATACAAAAAGGATGTAGGTTTAGAATATCTATTTTTTGGAGACTAAATAGATTTCCAAGGAAGCTAACACATTGTGTTTTAAGTAACCCATTGACTTTACAAGGGCCTCAGAAAATACCACTTATATATTTAGGTTGATATTTTTAATATTTATGGCATTAAAATCATCATTCTGTTTTGCATTTTTGTGCACCTGGCTTTCTAAAACTTGCTTATTAAGGGGTGGAAATTTTTATGGATAACCCTCAAGATTTCCCCCTAAGGGAAAAATGCAACAAGTTAACTTACACTCAGTCTGGAGTGCCTCATTTCCACAGGGCACTCATCTTTCATTCTGGAGAAGGGGGTGAGTTATAGAAACTCCACTGAGACTGAGTGTCTCCTCTGTGTTTGAGTTTATCTGTCTTATCCATCTGTCACTATAGAAGGTGGTCTTTGTGGACATATGATTTTAGTCTGTTTATACTGTAGATATAGTCACTTTTGTTTTCTTTCTTTTTTATGTTTTTTTTACAAAAGTCTCTTTAAAATTGATTTGATCCTCATTTATGTTCAAAATTATTTGACAGTGCATGCTTTTTTGGTCTATATTGTGAAAATTTATGTAATGCTTGATAGAACGAGGTAAGAGACTTTAACTTTAAATGTTGTGAGGGAAGTTGTAATTTGATATTACGTGTCTCCAAATTGATCTTTCTAACCACAGAGAGCTTTTTCTTAGTGGTGGTAAGATCAGGAGCCCTGCTTAAATATTTTGGGTTATGATTATTTTGCATATTTGTTGCATGTCTAGCTTGATGCCTTTTGAAGCTTTAATTACTGAAATTAATTGAGAGTTTTTGTTTGGTGATATTAAACGTTGATAATTAAGCATTTAAATACTGTTTGTAATCTTTTAGAAGTGAAGTAGCTTTGGATCACATTTCAGTTGATATGAATGACATTGAAACATTGCTTGGTGTTTTCTATACTTAAAAAAAATTTATTTTGGCTTTTTCTTTCCACAGCAAGTTGATGTGGAAAAATGGGTATGTGTTTCCATGTATTTACAAAGCAATTGTGGTTTTAAAAAAATGCATGTTTGCTGTTGCCTCTAATCTTTTATTTTGCTTCCTACTGTGGCTTCTACTATTAGCATTTGAACTAACTGCTCTGGGGTAATGAAAAAATGGTTTTCAGATCTCCATTTAGAATCTTACATGTTTCTGGTTCTGTTAGAATACTCCCCTTTTCCAGAGCCTTATAGTTTTATATAACTGGATGAAGTTGTAAAAATTATGATGTGCTTCCAGCCAACAGGAAGGCTTTTATTATTAATTCTCTATATCTTTTGCCAAAAAAAAGGATAAGTATTTAATTTTGGAATTCTACTGCTTAGCCTTGCCATGTGCTCTAGGAGGAGGCGGGCTTGCCCTTGGTTCCTGTTGTCTTCCATGGGCAGATGAACCTGCATCCTGCGAGGCAGGGCAGCCATGAGCTGAGGCTGAGGGGCAGGCCCCCTTCCTCAGACATCAGAACTCTTCCTTAGCCTCGGTTTCTCTATCCAGGGAGAAAAAAAGAGCAAGATTAACAAAGGAAAGACCTGGAGAGAGAGAGAGAGAGAGAGAGAGGGGAGAGAGGGGGAGGCAGGGAGGCAGGGAGGCAGGGAGGGAGGGAGAGGGACGAAAAGGGGAGGAAATGAAAATCTCACCTCGACAGATATCTCTACTTCACATTTTCCCCAAGAGTACCAGCAATTTAAATCTATCCTCTCGTGGTGTCACTTCATATCCCTGGGCTTTGCGACTTCAAAGGAGGAGTCAGGAGAGACCCACTGGGCTGGACTGGCAACTCCATTTGCTTTCATTCAGTAGCCACCTGGTCTTGGGACCCCGTCTTTTATTTTTAATGCTAAGATGTGAGATGTAATTAGGGCACGATTTATTAATAATTAATTTTTATTTAGTAATTTATGTTTGACCTCAGCGGGTGACCCTGGGGTTGTGTTTTGGCAGGCCCAGGCTCACATGCAGGGCTTCTTGGTGGTGGGAGAGGTGACTGTGATCCAGTTTTTTGGTGCAGGGTTTGGGGGAATTTTGTTCCCATCCCAGCTGCCTTTCAGGCCTGAGCAGGAAGGGACCCCAAACCGCAGAGCCCACTTGGCTCTTTGCATCTTCTGAGCTTGTTTACATTTCTTTCAGTCCTTCATCCTGGGGTACCAAGGAGCATTCAATAACCTCGGCTGAAGACTCGAAAATCCTTGTCACACTTAAATATAGATGGAAATTACATGTGTATGACAGTGAAATGGGCTTCTGTATGGGCTTTATAACACAAGTCTAGATAGTTCCCTAAGAGATGAATCTCCATGTTTTTCTTCCCTCCTTTCTCTCGGCTCTTCCTTCTCCTCTCCCCTTTCCTTCTCCCTCTCCTCCCTCTCCCTGCCCCCTCCTTCCTCCCCTCCTCCCTTCAGCCTCTTTCCCTCCCTTCATCAAGGTCTGTTTATGGAATGTTTGTATTTGCTTAAACCTAAGCCCACTGACTTATCAAATGCTGCTCTTCACACTTTGAAGGAGACTATCTCTGAGTCTTGGGCTCACAGTAATGAACTGTTTTTTTTTCCATTGACTCTGTCTCCATCCACTTTTTCACCTGTCACATTGGTTTCCAACATAGAAGCCTGAAATTTCAGATCATGGGTGGGGCTACTGAAAGAACGAAATGGACTGTGTAACTGTTCACATGAGAGACCTGCTGCAGCGAATGGTGTCTCTTATTCAGCTCTCTAGAAAGATACTGTAATCGTTAAGACATACATTTATTTTGGGTGTTGGCACATTTTCACAAACAACTACTATCATGGGACATTCTATGAAATGCTTTCATGGTATGGAGATTCAGTCATGTTTGAACATTATGCCAATATACATCTCTACACTCCGGGGTTCAGCCATGCGCCAGTCAACTCACCTCAGCTCTAAGTTTTGAAAATGCAATGTTGTTTTCTTCTCATTAGGTATTTTGTCATCTGTGGACTTCTCTTTGGAATAGAGCCAGAAAGCTTGAGGAGATCTAGGGAGAAAAGAGAAAAGATGGATGTATATAATGTGTGCATCTGTGTGTATGTGCGTGTGTGCATATGTACCCTGGGGCACAAGTCCTAGGGCTTGTACTCAGGGCCTGAGCTCTTCACTGTTTCACTCGAGGCTGGGGCTTTACCACTTGAACCATACCACCACTGCTGACTTTTTGGTGGTTAATTGGAGAGAAGAGTCATGGGATATTTTTTCTGCCTGGTCTGGCTTTGAATCTTGATTCTCAGATCTCAGTCTCTCAGGTAGCTAGGATTACAGGAATGAGCCACCAGTGCCAGGCCATAGTGCTTTGTAGAAGAAAAAGTGGGGCTGTTTGCATTCATGAGAAGAGACCATGTGACTTTAAGGGGAAAAGAGAAACTCCTTTCTGAGTTTTCTTTGGAGTTTGCCCGGCACAGTCTGCAGAGTCTAAGGAATTTTCACTTTGCATGAAAGCTGAGCAGCGCATTGTTGGGCCTTATTAAACACACTGGGATGGCTCTGTCTTGCAGCCTTCAGAAACAGAGGGGGACATGAAGGAGCTTTCGCTCATGATGCATTTTCGGGGTGATGTTAAGATCGTCTCCTTCTCCATGCTTGGAGAAGTCCTAACAGGAGTCACGCACTGCAGTGGGGCGGCATGCGGTCACCAATGATGGAGCTAATGGGAAAACATTCTGGAACAGTGTTGCTTGCTCCGGCATTCCTGTGGCATGTAGAGTTAGTACTGAGTGTTGTTACAGCAACACGGGGACCTCTTTGAATGCTTACTGTTTGACATGGCTCCATTGGGGAAGATGGAGTATTGATAAGTAATAGATTGTTTAAACAAAGCCTTGAAATGATTCATATTTAATATTTTCTCTCTTTTCCTTGTGTCCCTACAGAAATTCATGATGAAGGTAAGACATTGGATCACCTCCCTCTCTCCCTCCCTTTTCCCCCCCCCCTTTATATATATATACATACACATATACATAGTGCTTTGTACATTACAACTACACGTATTTAGCTTTATTTTTTGCATTCCTGCCTTTTTCACACTTTAAAATTTAAAAAAAGACTAAATCTTTAAAATATAATTAATCATGTGTAGACTTTCCAACATTTGCCACTTTGAGGTCATGTTGTAATATATTTAGTGTATTTAGCTAGCATTAGGAATTTCTCCCATTAAAAGAATCTTTTTGCATGACCATCTGTTAGCACACTCACCCTGGGGTGATGTGAGCTATTTCATGGCTCTGTACTCTAGCATAAATGTAAAGGAACCTATACAAGGTATACAAGGAAAGGAACCAATAAACTACACTAGTAGTTTTCAACTTTTAGAGTTGTTCTAGAAGTGAAAATAATTTGATCCTGGAATCTTTCATTGAGAGGAGAGGAATTAAGAGGAGAGAGATAAGTCTCTTGGATTTGTTGCCTGGGCTGACTTTGAACTAGATCCTCAGACCTCAGCCTCTTGAGTAGCTAGGAAACGTCATTTATCTTTTGCTTAAGCTTTTCCTTAAGAAACAGTAGAGAAAGATATTTATTTATCGTTAGCCAAGAATTGCTGCATTTGATTTATGAACCGAAGGATGTCCTTCTCAATGATAGGAGCTTGGAGCAATGTTGGTGCAAATCCTGTCTGCACACCAGAGTGCTCTTGCTGATCCTTGGTTCCTCATGAAGTCCCCCATCCCCACCTTTACAAAAGTCTGCACCCAGTGCAATCTGGGAATCTCCAGTACCTCTTCCCTAACCAGAAGGGATTGGGCAGTTTGGCTCAATGGCAGAAGTATTTCTTTGAAGCCACATATGGACAAAGCCATGGAATATCTTCCAAACTTGTATATAATACTAGCTGTTATCAGATGGTAAGGAGAGGAAATTGTGCATTAAATTAGATGTATCATGACCCCGGTTTGGTTTTTTTTCTTGTGCTGGTATTGTCAATAGCAGGTAAGCATTGATCCATGTTCATTCTTTGCAAGTCTTAATAAATGATGAAATTGGGTTTGAAAAGAAACATCAGTTTTTCTCTTTTAAATTTCCATTTGCTATTTTCCTTTTTATCATCTTATCCTTCTCTCAGTCCTCCAAACAATGCAGTGTTAATTTCCTTTTGAGAACGTCCAAAGTGGTTTCTTTAGCTCTGTTCACATAAAAATCCGTACAGGTAGATAAGTGCAGGTCACTTAAATCCAAAGTGTCAAGGGCCAAAAATAATTAATTAGGCTCTGGTTTTTCTTTTAATGGGAAGGCCAGGAGCCAATGGCTGATTTTCCCACCTACACTGGAAGATCTTGGAAAGTATACATCTGATTAAGTGCATACACTCATCATTTGGGCCATTTCATCAGAAAAAGATGCTGAATTGTATTGTTTTTTAACCTTTCAGTCCTAATTTGGTCTTAGAGTTTTACACATACAAAGGCCTAGCTGAGCAGCATAGCTGCAGGCAGATGCCTCTGCTTGTGAGAGAGAACCGGGCTCTTCTTGGTGCTGACTAATGAGGTGCTGGGACTCTGCAAAGCCTCATCTGTTCCCCCCGCCCCCGCCCCAGACTTGTGGGTTAGACCCAATCACAAGTGAGCCATCCAGGGTCACGTGGCCATCTGGACAGCACTCGGCTGGCTCTGTCCAGCATGTTGACTTTGCACCAATAAACGGCTGGGAAGAATAAAAAGGTCTGAGGCTTGGAGGTGGTGAGATTCACTTCAGATCTTAGGAAGACTCAACCACTGACTCCATGTTTATTTTTGTGCTTCTTGTATGTCAGGAGTTCAGCTAGGTACTTCAAGGCGGGGTGACCAGGTCTCCTGCTTCACGGAGATTATTGTACGTAAATTGTTAGAAGCTCTGGTACATCTGAGAGCCAGATGGAACACGAGCGCACAGTGGAGACTTCATTCAGAATTGTGCTCCAGTTCCAGAAGCCTTTGCATGACTGTTTGCTTTTGGGATAGTTTTTTTACTTTATTCTTTCCTGTTAAACTTTCTTCCAGACTGTGTGATACCAAGGTTGCTCATCTGGACTTTTGTCTTCTTTCTGATTTTGTCCATGCAGACAGCTCAGGGTGGTGGCCATCGGACCCTCCTCTATGGACACGCCATATTGCTCCGCCACTCCTACAGTGGCATGGTGAGTGGACACAGGGCGTCCTTCACGTGGTCAGGGGGCCTGTGTGGGGCTTTGTGGGGCATAGCTGTTCAACAATGCTGTTCCTGAGCTCTGATAGATGAGCTTCTTCATGTTTCTGGGCTCTACTGAGTCCTCTCATTTACAAGATGTAGTTTAACTTAGACTGTGGTTGTTTTCTGCTTTATGATTATGTGAGTGTTATTTTTAATAACTTACTTTGGATTGGGCCATTTTAAGAAGAGAGAAGTTTTAGAGTCACATAAGAAGTGTTTTGCTTTTCTGGCTTTAAGTTATTCATTTATCAAAGAACCCAAATTTCTTTCTTAAACACAAGATAAAATATTGTCTGTGAGCTCTAATGTCAGTTCTACCCATTCACACCCTTTCCTTCTCTTTCATTTTATACCTCATCTCCTTCTTTCGTTAGTGATCCATTGGGCTCCTCAGGCAGTTTCTCCTTCTCTATAACACACACACACACACACACACACACACACGCACACACACGCACGTACACATGCACACATGAACTTTTTTTATTAGTATACATTATTTGTAAAGAGGGGCATTTGAAAAATATATTTCAATAAATCATGCCCCCTCTATGACTCTGCCCCTCTTCCCAATATTTTTAAAAGTAACATACATAGATGTATATTATGTATTTTTTAAATGCTGTGTTTTGACATTGTGTACCTAAGATACATAAAAGTTTTACTTCATTTACTTACATACTTTATTAATGCTTAAAACTACTGACTTTATTTTATAAGATTTGGAAGGTATAGAAGAAAAAATGTTTTAATCATATGAATAAGAGAAGCTTTAAAACTTGGAAATATTTCAACTTTTTTTTCCTGTTTTAAATTTCTGACATAATTGAGGTCTTACAGGACCAAACTTATCTCTTGGTTTTGTTTACATTTAATCACAGCATGAGCATTTCCTTGTCATTTAATTTTTCATTAGCATAATTTTAGTGATTACATTATAGTTCAATATCTGGAAGCATAATATAATTGATGATCATTTGTTTTAAAAAAGAAGATAAATCCTGGCATATAAATCTCTTTTGAGTAAGAGACCTGTCTTAATACAAAATCCATCACACAGGCAGACAGACAGACAGACACACACACACACACACACACACACACAAACACAAACACACTGTTCATTTCAGTCATGAGTATTGATGTAATGATTCAATTTAAGGTGCAGGAGAGAAGTTGGGAAGGGTGTAGGCATGACTTCAGTTATGGTTTAACAATATAATTTTCATTTCTGTGCTATATCACATATATAGGTCAAAGATGAAAGTGGTTATCATGTAATAAGTATAGGAGAAAATCTGAAATAAGACTTGATACCCATTGTATTGTTTTCTTTTTCTGTGTGTGTATCAGGGTTGGAGTAAGGCTTGAACTCAAGGCCTTGTACACTGTGCTAGGCTTGCTCACAGCTAGTGTTCTACCACTTGAACCATGCCTAGCTAGTTGGTATTTTCTGGTAAATTGAAGATGGAACCTTGCAAGATTTTTCTACCCCAGCTGACTTTGAACTGTGATCCTTCAGGTCTCTTCCACCTCCTGAGTGGCTGGAATTACAGGCGTGAGCCATGGCACCTGGTTTTAATGCCTGTTAATTAACTGAAGCATTGATGATTAATTTTCCCAATGAAAAGAATAGCAACACTGAATCAATAACCAATGCCACACATTTAAAATGCATAAACTGATCTTGGTAACATTAACACTAATAAATAAATAAGACATTTAATCTGCTATTGCTAGGTAATTTTGTTCTGGACTTCTTGGCTGATGTGGAAGATACAAAATAAATAAAAATAAAGTATAAAAAGTAAAGTAATACCATTTGAGAGAGTGACTTGGGTACAAGACAGATATAAAATTTGAACAAGATGATTACATATTAAAGTTTCATGAAAATCTGTTTTTGACAGCATATCAAAACGTATGACGTGTGTAGAACAACCCACATGAACTAGGAGATGTATTAAGAGAACGAATCTGTCTATAGCTCTATATGTATTAGATGAGTTTGAGGCTGGATTTGGTGTTTAGGTCTGTATTCAGTCTTATTTTGCCCCATGCTGGCCAGCCTGGGCTACTTTCCTGAACCTCTTTAAGCTTGTGCTTGTGTCTGAAATTTCATCCATCCATTCACTAAGTACTGCTTAGCATCCTGGTCTAGGCACATAATATAGTCATGAATAAGACCAGTGCCTTGCATTTGTGGACTGTCTGATGCTTGGTAGATTAATTATACCATCCATCTCTGTGTTGTGAAGGTGAGAAGTGACTAGTGACAATGCCTGCTGCTGTATGACTGACAAGGCTATGGAAGACTTGTTAATAGGCACCTCTTTTTGCCTGCAAAGTCTGAGGACCGTCAAACTGTGGCTTTGTCTCAACTAGAGACAGGCTGCATGTTTTTAAAAGTCTCCTTAAGCAGTTGTTCAAAGAGGTTTCAATTCCACCTGCCAGTTTACAAGTCCAGGGCATCCGAATCATTCCATCACTCTCCTCCATCTCCCCCTCCCCTACCGGTCCCTTCAATGTACCTGCTTCTGTTTTCATGTAAATATGTTGACTATAATGACTGCATTCCCCCACCCTTCCTCTCTCCATCTGTCTCCCTTTGGCGTTCTCCCCCCCCCCCCCCCCCCCCCCACAAGATAGAAGTCAGCTTTCTGCTATAGGACTTGTTGAACCCTAAGTTCAAAGGAGTTAGGTGAGTGCAATCCTCTTCTGGGAATGCCCTGGTATAGTCAGTTAGAGTCCACATGCGCAGAACCAAATCCTGTAGACCCAGGGATCAGCGAGGGAGGACTGCGAGTCTCAAGTCAGACCCTTGCTCCTGTCCTAGCTAGAGACAGGCTGGGATCGATCAGCCCGCTGTCTGTCAAGGTGGGAGTCACTGTTGGTGGCCAATGGGCAGAATGAGGCTGTCCAGGTCCATTTGACTCCCCATCCCAGGCACTGAACCACTGTGCCAGCCCCTGGCCCTGTGGGTTCCTCTCCTTCCTCATACTAACACCTGTTTAGCTAGATGGGCATTCTTCCATGCGAGGAGCTCCGGAGCCTTTTCATGAACCGTCCGGGACTCTGGGAGTGACTCCCTGTCCCCGCTTGTCTGGTCTTCTCCGAAGGCTCCCTGGTTGTTCCCGTGATGCTGAGCTCCTTGGCACAGATGGTTGTGTATCCTCAGCTTGCATTCTCGTTGGCCTAGCGAGTCACAAGGTATCTGTAGCTCCAGAAGGCTAGGAGGAGTCGACCTCAACTTCCTATCTGAGAACAGATCGTTAGGAACACCCAAAGGAACGATGGTGTGGCTAGTCTGATGTCTCTTAGGGAAGGGCATACATGTGGAGGCATGGTGAACCCCATTTTCACAAGCGGCCATGCTGCTAGTGAAATAAACTCTGGGTGGATGTCAAAGAGTTAAAAAAAAAAGTTTTAAAGTGAAAACAGAATGCAAAGATAAGTAGGTATGCTTTTCCGATTTACCATGAGTGACTGTCACATGAAGATGGCACTGAACCCTGGGGCCCGAATCACTGTCACTTGCCTTCTTGTCCTCATGGTGCAGTTTCTAGTCTTTTCTGAGGGGAAAGGATGGCATTTCCTTTAGAATATGGCTCCCAGTGCCAGCGGGGAAAATGCTGCTCTACCCCAGAGCTATGTACAAAGGCATCTAGATTTTTCTGCTTTTAATAAAAAGACTAATCAGCGGAGATAGATAGACATCCAGCTCCTTGTTGGAATAAGGCTCCGATGTGACTAGAAACACTTCGTGACGACTGTCAATTCTGTATCATTTATTTATTTATTTATTTATTTTAGTATTTGTGCTGTCTGTCAACCTCCCGGTCCTCAACTGACAAGCTGGCTTTTGACGTGGGCTTGCAAGAGGATACCACAGGTGAGCGGCTTGTGCTGAGGTGAATCTGTGTGTGGAGAGCCCGGGCAGAGAGTGCTGCGTGGAGCCCGGATGGAGAGCACTGCCAACAGGATCAGAAATACATTTAGATGAGTGGCTTTGTTTATGGAGTTTGAACCCAGGACATGGGTGCTATCCTGAGGCTGATGGATCAAAGCACATAGCAACTCTACTGTTGAAGAACTTGCATTCTGGCATTGAGGAATTAGTCAAGAAAAAGAATTAACTTCTGGAAAATGGCAAAGCTTTCGAAGGGCAGAGAAGGAGAATTCTTAGAGCACAGACGATATGAGAGCCTCATTGCCATGGCTAGTGAGCGCTTCCATGCGGGTTTGCCTGGGAGTCATGAGCAGATTGAAGTGGTTTGTTTACACTTCTATCTGTGGAGACATGACCAAGCCACGAGGAAGGACATGCGGCCGAGCTTTTGCCTGCGTTGTTCTATAAGAAAGCATTTAAGGCATAGTCACAGGCTTTTATTTCATTGTACCCTTCTATAGTCAGCTTCTGATATTTTACTGAGACCCAGAGAAATTAGCACATTTTAACATAACAAAAATGGGGCAAACAAAGGGAATGGAATAGTAGGATTTTTAGGTAGTTACCCAGTGTCCTCCTTCTGAACCAGCCCCCAAGTCATTTTGGAAGTCAAGTGATGAAAGTCACAGAGCCCCGAGTGAACAGAACAAAGGCATGTTGTTGGTCACGGGGGCAGGAAGTCGATGTGGCTGAAGGGTGGCTGGGGTCTCACGTGAGTCTACACGGCTGTCCTCTGTCAACAGTTCTTAGCAGGAGGAAAGCTCCTAAGATGTCACAACCCATTTCCAAGGGAAGAAACTTGGCCTCTCAGAATGTCTTCACCCTAAGCCATTCTTGGGCTGCGTTCTTTGTCTGCCATATTAATGATGCACAAAATGTCCTATTCCTGCAGCCCACACAAATGGAATCATTGCCAAAAGAGATCTGGAGTTAAAAACAAAATGCTCAGGTGTGTCTCTGTCTCCCCCAACTCCGCAGGTGAGGCGTGCTGGTGGACCATCCACCCCGCCTCCAAGCAGCGGTCGGAAGGAGAGAAGGTCCGCGTGGGAGATGACCTCATCTTGGTCAGCGTGTCCTCGGAGAGGTACTTGGTAAGTGCGGCTGGCAGTCCCGAGGGTGTGCCACTGCGGTGAACTGATTCTGCCAAACTCCGAATTGAACAGGAAAGGGAATTTGCTTCTAGATAAGCAAAGCTTGGAAAATCACTTGTGGTCAGAGTTGGGACTGTGGCTGTGCAGGTCTGGGTAGGCCCGAGTCCTCCTGACCTTGGGTGGGGGTGGGGGGGGGCGTGTTCACCAGGCCCACAGCCCCCTCTCTGGGATCCGCTTCCTAATAGAGTGGGAATATTCCACTGTGTGTCCTTTGAGTCCCCGGGGCTGCTCCGTGGGACTGTGACTGAAGATCTTAATCTTTATGGAACCGGTTTATTACGGGAGAAACTCTCGTCACACAGGTGGAATCTCAAGGTTTGTCACCTACAATTGCATTCCCTCCCGACCGGCTGGCAATGGGAGAATGAAGGAGGAGTGGGTATTGGCTGTTGGGTGTACTTCTGGTTTTGGTGTTTCTGTGGAGCACATCTAATAAGTTACAGTTCTGCTAAAGAACAGGGCGGTGCAGTGTTCATAAAAGGTTGCAATCTGTGGAAGTGCAAGATACTCTTTGAACTTCAGAAAGGAATTAAACACACAACAGGGGCATGGCAGGCCTGGCACTCATGTCTACCAGAAGGTCCCAGATGTGGTTGTGGGTGATGGCTGAAACAAAACCAGAAGCAGTGCCCATGGCAGGAAGCTCATGCTAGACCGGGCTTAGATGTCACCGAGTCAAAAGTGTTCTTTGTGCCTAAGCAGTCAGGGTGAGGGAAGTCACTGGTGCCCATTGATCAATAAAAGGTGGGAAAGAGAGATAGAGGGAATGTTACAGGTGATCTTTTTGGGGAGTGGAGGGACTTGTGAAAGGCAAGGTAAGAACAAGAAGAGAAAGAGGAGGAGGAAGGAGGAGAAAAAAATGCTTAAAATAAAGAAGTTGCAAAATTTTTAGATCAAAACCAATTATCTGTGAAAAATAGTTTTTCTTTTATTAGCACTGGCTTTTCAGTCATTTGTGTCTGCTGACCCATGACTGGTTAGTGGCTGGACCATCTGACTTTGCATTTCAGACATTCAAGTGACATTGCCTTGACTACAACCTACAGGAAGGTTTTCCTTCCCTGCAATGTGTTCCATGGGCAGAAGAGGGCGCTGTGTGGTGGGGCGCCCCGACTAAACCGGACCTGGGGGTTTGAGGAACACAGAATACAGGGTCTTATCAGGTAGCAAGGTTGTCAACTACATGCCCACGTGGTGTCTTTTCTGGCTTTTGCTGTTTTCAGAGTCTACTATGAAACCCCATCTTAAGCCTCTTTCTAGGAACATTCGTCAAGAAAGCGTGTTTATTTTTGCGCCGACTGGAAGCTTTGCCTTCTTTTAAAGAAGGCTTTGGGTAAGCAGCTTACATATAAGGGAAGCGCACAGTGGAGGAAGCAGGGCGCGTGAATGTGAAGTCTCTGGTCCGTTCCACACTGAGCAGTTTTTTTTTTTTTAAATTTAATTTAATTTTATTTGTGAACATACTGTACAGAGGGGTTACAATTACATGGGTAGGATAATGCGTACATTTCTTACCAAGAATTGCAGCCTCCTCCTTTGTTTACCCTTCACCTCCCTTCCCAGCCTCCCCCCTCCCCCCCTAATCCCAATCCTTCTCCTTCCCCCCCCCCCCCCCCACCACCGACGTTGTAAAGCTCGTTTTGGACATGACAACTTGTACTTCTCATTGTTGCAACAGGTCCACCTGTATCCTTAAACAACTGGTTTTTCCCCATCTCCTCCACAAGTTATACTGACATCAAATATAGTGAAAGCAGGGGTTATACTGTGGGGGAGGGACATACAAAGCAACAAAGAAATAATCTTATATATGCGTTAGAAACCCATGCATGAAAGAAAAAAACATTAAAATACATATCTAAGGGTTCATTTTTCTGACATCACCTTATCTGATCTTTTCCGCTTGACTCATACATATACTAGATATTGCAAATAAGGGAAACCATGGGACCTATGTTTCTTTGGGCCTGGCTTACTTCACTTAATATAATTTTTTCCAAGTTTTTCCATTTCCTAACAAATGGGGCAATGTCATTCTTTCTGATGGAGGCAAAGTCATGCGAAATGTGAGATGTCAGGTTACCCGGGCTTGGGCTGCAGAAATGATTGGTCCAGGCAAACCAGCCATAGATGGCTGCTGGCCGCATCTGTCAGTCATCTGCCTTGAGTTCTCAGGAGTGATTAAAAAGGCTTCAAACAAGCGATTTTGGGGATGCCTAAAACCCATATTGGATTTTTTTTAATTGAGGAAAACTCCGAATGTTTGGATTAAACAACAAATTATTAAATTGTCTAAAGAGGCATGAATACAGTGATGAAAGACAATGTTTTCAAGTGCATTGTTATGTCAACCAAGTCCCTTTTCTCCGGGAGCGGGGAGGGTGCATGGCCGAACTGAGGGCTTGTACCTGCTAAACATGTGCTCTGCCTTGGAGCTACATCTCCAGTCCTTCCTGTTCAGTTCTGCTCATTCACTTTGAGCCATTTTTTTTTTTCTCTTCTTGTGGTTTAGGAGTCATAGAGTATGATCTCTCTATCCCTCCCTCTCGCTCTCCCTCTCGATCTCTCTTCCCTTTCCCCACTATTAGGGTTCAAATTCAGAGCCTTATACCCAGGCTGTTTGCTCAGCTGGTGCTCTACTACTTGAGCCATGCCCCCAGCCCTGCTTTTTTGCTGTTTTTTTGTTTTTGTTTTTAGACATAGAGTCTCATGAACTTTTCCGCCTAAGGTAGCCTCAAACTATGCTCCTCCCTGTTTTAGCCCCCTGAGTAGCTGGGATTAAAGGTGTGAGACCTCAGCCCCCAGCTAAGAGCATCTATTTCCTTGTGTCCCTTATTTATTCTTCCTTTGATCAAGAGAAAAACTTGAAGCTAGGGGAGTAATATGGCTTACCCACTTGTGTTTCCTGTCTCTGGATGATGATTTATTTTGCATGCTCTATCTCAAGGGCCCTAGAGGGCCCTGGCATTTAGTAAGAGATAAGAAAGTGAAGAATCACATCAGATAAGGGTTGAATTTAGAGATGCAGTCTGGTGAAGCATTTTGACCTCACCATAGTCATGGATAAAGGAAATACAGAGGGTTCCAAAGGAAATGGAAAGTATTGAAATACAACTTTGTGGGCATCAGGTTAGGAATTCCTGTCCCATTACTTCTGTTTCTGACGTGTGTGTGTGTGTGTGTGTGTGTGTGTGTGTGTGTGTGTGATTAAAACAGAGCTTTTGGGTCAGCCCCTCTTTCACTGGCCCCACACCACTCCTCTTGAATGTATTACTACTACTACTACTGTTGGTTGTGGGGCTTGAACTCTGGGCCTGGGCACTGTCCCTGATCTCTCCAGTTCAAGGCTAGCACTCTACCACTTGAGCCACAGCGTCACTTCTGATTTTCTGGTGGTTAATTGGAGATAAGAGTCTCATGGGTTTTCCTGCCCAGGCTGGCTTTGAACCGTGATCCTCAGATCTCAGCCTCCTGAGTAGCGAGGATTACAGGGGTGAGCCAATGATACCTGACTTGAATGTATTATTTTTGGACAGGATTGGACAGATCAGTTGATTTGTGGATACGGAAGCTTGAAAGTCACTAGCATGAGGTTATAGCTGACACCAGGTAGCAAATCAGTCCCCTGAGCCCAGCCATATTGGCTGACCCTTCCTGATTAGCGAGTAAATTCCATGGTGCTTACTTTTTTTCAGCCCAAGGCTGATTTCTGCTTTCAACCTCAGCCGTCATCTCTTTTGGCTTTCAGGATATAGCTCATCTCGGTTTCAGAGCTTGAGGCTGTTGCCATAATGTGAATATTTAATACTGCAGGCCTGACTCGAAGCTGTTCTGTCTTGGATTTCTATTTGCTGTTCAAGCAGCAAAGTTAAGTGGAAGCATGCGAAGTCGTTATACCCGGAGAATATTTTCCTTTGAAGAGTGCACATTACTTAGATAGCTCTCTGTGACTGTCATACTGTCTTAAGGAACTTCGTGACTGTATAGCTCTGCGTATGCATGGTTCCTCTTTAGGCCTGGGTCTGATGGGGAAATGCATTTTATCTCCTCCACCCCTTCATTCCTTTCTTCACTGTGATAGCTCCTTGCTCCAGCAAAAGGTCCTTGATCAGGTCCAGCCTTCATCTGTAGTTTGGAGTGGATGCTCAAAGAAGAGACTGTCCGTCCCCTGCACTCTGTATTCTCCTATTTCTGCCTTCTGGCCTTCTGTTCGCTACATTCCCCATACCAGAGCTGATTAGACTCAAGGGGTCGCAGCCTACAGCCCATGAATGACGAGGTTTGTGAGGTATGGATTAACGCCAGACATCCTACCAGGCTGGTGTACCAAGCCTCTAGTGTGCTTTAACAGATTTACTCGTAGCACAGTCCCAGGTTGAGTCAGTATACCCAAGTCCAGCATTTGCACGAACAGGTTTGGAGATGGTGCATCCCATGGCGGAGGCCCAGGTTGAGTGACCCATGGGCCCCCTCCAGCTTGGGTCAGAAGCCCCATCTCTCCCATGGAATAGGCACCAGGACCATGGACCAGGACTGTGGGCGTGAGCGTGGTTCCAGCCCTGTTTGGCCACACACATGCTCTTAGAATTTTTGTCCCGTTTTTAACATAGCTCACAGAACACTTGGAATGCGTGGCCTGTGGTGTGTTGTGCCTGTATTTCATCTCTTCCCCCAGGGCGGAGAGGCATTCTGTTGCTGCTTAGCCCTGTATGGATCAGTGAATCCGTCATGAATTCACCAAGGGTTCTCTACTTAGTGTGGTATCAAATGAGGTTTAACTTGGCTTCAAAGCTGAGCTAAAAGGAGAGCCTTAGAGCTTTGAGTTATTTTCAGATAGATTTTTGATTGTGTGTGTGTGTGTGTGCGTGCGCACACACGTGTGTGCATGCATGCATGCACATGTCTTGGGGCTTGAACTCAGGGCACTGTCCATGAGCTTTTTTGTGCAAGGCTAGTGTTCTACCACTTGATCTTCCAGCTCTTTAGTAGTTAATTGGAGATAAGAGTCTCACAGACTTTCTTCCCTGGGCTGGCTTCGGAGCCTCAGATTTCAGCCTCCTGAGTAGCTAGGATTACAGGCGTGAGCCACCGATGCTGGGCTGCAGATGGTTCTCAAAAAATCTGTATCTTGGGGCTGGGGGTTTAGCCCAGTGGAAGGGCGCCCGCCCGGCGCGCGCAAGGCCCTGGGTTCGGTCCTCAGCCCTGGGGAAAAAAATCTATATCTTACATCTTAAATATTCACACAAGTGTGTGTATGTAAACTATAGATACACACATGTGTGTCTATATCTTATATATATATACAGATATTTCATATCTATACACATATAGGTGGTATGAGATCTTTTATTAAGTCACTGAGGCAGAAATATTTATGGTGTAACTTAAAACTTTTTTTTTTTACTTGTGCTGTTTTGGTTTTGGAGGTTTAATTGGCTTCTCTGCCTGTTTCTGTACGGAACAGCATGGTAGACGTTGGGTCCACAGGTGGGGACCCGAGTTAGATAAATCACCAGAAAGGAAAATGAACCAAATAATGATACCAGGTGTTAATTGTTGTGAAGGAAAATACGTTTTTCTGGTTTGCGGAAGCAGAACAGATACGATTAGCTTGTAGACAGTGAAATAACTGGAACACATTAAAAAAATTAAGGTCAGTAAAAGCATGGGATCAAGTATGAGAATGGGCGTTTGTACGGAAGCAGGCGGCCAGCGGTGGTCAAGGGGAGGTGTGGAGGACTGGCTGCTAAGTCCAGTGGTTCGCCTGGAAGGCGACTAGGTAATTATGAGTGTGTCGCAATGCCCCCATTCAATGCCTTTGATTTTCTTCTTGAGGGTGCGAAGGACTCAGTGATGTGGAGGGCTTGTATTTTGGTAAAGGAGCCCCTGTGTTGCTTATGGGTCTGTGGTGTTCCCTTGGGTGTCTGTGTCCGGCTGTGGTTGGCGGGTCTTCATTTCCTAGGAAGATCAGAGTCCCAGGGCATGTCTGATAGGGTTGAAATCATGAGACACTGCAGGGCCAAGGATGATGGCCACAGAGAAGGTGTGGGCAGGTAGAGTTTGGAATTTTTTCCCTTTTTTTTAGTCAGTCGTGGGGCTTGAACTGTGGCCCTGGGCGCTGTCCCTCAACTCTTCAGCTCAAGGCTAGCACTCTAACATTTGAGCCACAGCACCACTTCTGGTTTTCTGAGTGGTTTATTGGAGATAAGAATCTCATGGACTTTTCCTGCCTGGGCTGGCTTTGAACCATGATCCTCAGATCTCAGCCTCCTGAGTAGCTAGGATGACAGGTGTGAGCCACTGGTGCCCAGATAGTTTGGACATTTTAAAGGCAGCCAAGGAGTGATGAGTAATCGAGGCATTTTGCTATAGTTATAACTTGGTTTTTAGTGCACACACACACACACACACACACACCCACACACACACACACATTCTGCCCCTACTGGGGTTTGAACTCAGGGCTTATGATGTATCTGTTAGCTTTTTATTCAAGGCTAGCCCTCTACCACTTGAGCCACAGCTCTGCTTCCAGCATTTTGCTGTTTAATTAGCAATAAGAGTCTGTAGGATTTGTCTCCCCAAATTGGCTTTGAACCACCATCCTCAGATGTCAGTTTCCTGAATGGGTATGAGGCACCGTGCCCAGCCTCGGTTAACATTTATTTATTTATTTATTTTTGTCTGTTGCGGGCTTGAACTGTGGGTCTGGGCGCTGTCCTTCAGCTCAAGGCGAGTGCTCTACCACCTGAGCCACAGCGCCACTTCCCTTGGTTAACATTTAGTAAGTAATATCTATATTCCTGACACATATTAAATATTACATTTTGTGAACGCAGTTCTATTTTTTAAGGACAACCTGAAATAATACTCTTGAGAGCTGAAGGAGGTTTTATCGCCCTATTTTTAGGCAGCTATTAGGAGATACTGCCATCTACTGTCTGTGATGTCATATTGCAGTGAACAATTTCTGTAGACCATCAAATGAAGACATTGGCTCCAGGGTTAACTGTCACCATTATAAACTGTCACCATTATAAACTGTCATCATTATAATGTCAAGTGCCTACCTTCTGTAACATTTTTTTCCATCAACATGCCTTAAGACAAAAATATAGTCTCTTTTTGACAAATAAGTGTTTGTTGTTGGTGTGTGTGTCTGAGATCAAAAGGGAGCCTCAATTGTTTTCTTTCCCTGCTGGTGTTTTTGAGTTTCGAACGACCAAGTTGAAGGAGCTGTGTGGTGTGGGCATTTGGGAGCATGCCAGGGCAGGTTGGCTTGCCCAGTGGGACTCACCCGCCATCCTCCCTTGCCTGTTCGCAGCACTTGTCCTACGGCACCGGCTTGCACGTGGATGCGGCCTTCCAGCAGACTCTGTGGAGCGTGGCCCCCATCAGCTCAGGAAGCGAAGCTGCCCAAGGTAAAAATCCTCCTCTCTCATTGGAAGGCTCCGTCCTCAGTGCACACACTGATCACCTTTGGGATTGTGGTCATGAGCTGCTTGCTAATGAGTGAGCTTTTGTAGCACAGGCGATCATGGCGTTTAAGGAATCTCTCTTCAAGGGAAGCTGGGACTGAGGTTTATCTTTATTTTTGTGCTATCAGCGTGAGCTTTTTTGCCTCCTCTGCAGTGGTAACACCCTAACGGTTGTGTTCCTTTCATTTCTTGGCCTCTGGGTATCTATCATTCATTAGGCCAATCAAAGTCAGTGTAAGTTCATCATTCAGGCTTGTGTCTGATGGCTGCACCCCAGTGATGTTTATGCAGTTGGATTTCCTAGGGCAGTAGCTGCGTTCTTCTCACTTTTGATAGGGTGTCACGGTGTGTGTGTGTGTGTGTGTGTGTGTGTGTGTGTGTGTGTGTGTGTGTGTGTGTGTGCGCGCGTGCGTGCGCGTGTGTAATGGTGAGGTTTGTGTGGCTGGGCCTTAGCATGTCCTGCCTGTGCCATCGACCCCTGTGACCTTGGCCAGCACTGACGTTCCATGTATGAAAGTGCATCATCGGCCCCCTTGGTGCATCTGGCCATCAGCCTGACCATTGTGACCTTGATCCTTGCAGGGTACCTCATCGGTGGCGATGTCCTCCGGCTGCTCCACGGCCACATGGACGAGTGCCTCACTGTCCCCTCTGGAGAGCACGGGGAAGAGCAGAGGAGGTAGGTACCCAAGCCCTGCACCTGGTGCTGGGGTTGGTGTAACTGATGCACGCTCACTCTGTCTTGATGGAATTTTACTTGGCTAAGAATTTGTCTGTCAGGACACTGGCATCACAACAGGTCTACGCGGTCATTGATCTGCCCACTGAAGGGAGCCATTGCTTGGTTTCTCAGGAAGAGTTTGGTTTGTTGTTTTTTTTCCCCCACGTGTTTTTCACTGGACATTTTTTTTTTTTGTATCACTAAAACACATTCAGAGGCATTGCACCAAATGAAAGGAGTGGGCGGAGCGAGCGCATGAACTTAAACTGCTTAAAATGTCATTGAGTGTTCATTAGTGTTGATGAATTCGCCTTCTCCGGGGTTTAATTTCAAACTCGGCCTCAGGAGCAGAGTTCTGGAATTGTGTAAAATGTCAGGGCCCTTTTCAATTACCTCCCACGTGTTGACAGGTGATGACGTCGACCACTTCCCGATACAATACCTCTCTCCTGTTCATAGTTCTGGGGACAGGACGAAAATTGTCTGCCTCTACTTGAAAGTGCACTGATTTTAAAACAGTAAAATACTTGTTATGATTTGCGTGTTCCTGCGGCCCCTCACAAACGAGTCAAGGAACATGGTAAACCAAACATATCCATGAGAGATGGCAGCAAAGTCTGTCTCTGTGGTTTGTGATGTGTCTTTAAATCTTTTACCCAGCACTTCTCATAACATTGATATGGACGCTTGGGTAGCTTGTTTAATAAATATTTATTACTGTAATTTAAGAAGAAGACATAAGGAGAGTGTTGAGGAAATTAATAGCCATTTAAGTATCTTAGCGAGAGCCAGGTGCTCTGAAAGCTGGTCTCAGGACTTTGCTCTGACCAGGCAGATCTGTGTATGGTGATGCACAGAATGCAGAGCCTGGAGAAACTTCCAGAGCTTAAAACGCTGCTTTCAATGTCCTGGGGGGAAGGGATTGATGGTTCAAAGAGAAAGGGGCTGTCAAGAGCAGCCTGTTGGGGAATGAATTCCAAACAGAGGCTAAATGTAGGAGCTGATGCACAGCAGAGCAGTGCATTCTGGGAGTTGCAGTTCCCACCTGGAAGATGGAGGGATGGAGGCATGGAGGATGGAGGGATAGAGGGAGGGATGGATGGAGGGATGGAGGGAGGTATGGAAGGATGGAGGGATGGATGGATGGAGGGAGGGAGGGAGGGATGGAGGGAAGGAGGGATGGAGGGAAGGAGGGATGGAGGGAAGGAGGGATGGAGGGAAGGAGGGAGGGAGGGAGAGAAGCGCAGCTTCCAGGCGAGAGAGAATCAATCAGCTTCCTTGGTCAGCACCATTGCCACAGCTGAGTGGGATCCCTGCAGCTGTGACAGGACACAGGCTTAAAATCAAAGAGTCTTGAGTCAAGAAAAACCCATTAGGATTTTTCCTAATGGGTACACCTGTAATCCTGGCTACTCAGGGGGCTGAGATTTGGGGATCAAGGTTCGAAGCCAACCTAGGCAGATAAATCCAAGAGACACTTATCTCCAAGTAGCCAGCACAGAGCTGGAAGTGGAGGTGTGGCTCAAGTGGTAGAATGCCAGTCTTGCAAGAAAAAGCCAAGTGAGAGAGCACATGGCCCTGAGTTCAAGCTCCAGTACTGGCAAACAACAACAACAATAATAATGATAATGATGATGATAGAACATGTGTTAGGAGAGGGATAGCCTAGTAGTTCACCTGACATAAGCATTCAAGGACCAGATGGGATGGGGAGGGGTCCTCGTGGCTAGGACAGTCAGGTGGGGGCAGGATGGTCAGGTGGACGCAGGAGGGTGGAGAGCCTGTGTGGTGAGCCATGGGAGCCCAGGGCAGGGAGCGTGGGTTTTCCCAGTGCCCCAGCACAGAGCTTGTACAGGCCTAGAACAGCATCTTCCACTCCAGGGCCCCTGAATTCCTTCATCCAGGCCTCCCCGGAGCGCTTCTGGGTCTTCCCTCAAGGCCGCTAGCGATCGGTGGTTGGGAAGGCCGAACCCTAGGCTAGACGGATTAGCTTTGTAGCTCCTCAGGGGACGTCATTACTTTCCACTGTTCTTGTCACCCTCTGTGAAGTACAGCTCAATTGTCACCTTCTAGTCTGTGGGGGTGTTGTGCAGAATGCTGATGAAATGAGCAGCTTGTATTTAATCCAGGCGACAGGAGTGGCGCACAGGGTACGATGGTGGCTGTCACCATCAACATCATTACTGAGACCGAACAGGCCTCATGGAGCCAGGGAGGATAGGAGGGTCTGCGGGCTGCAGGGCTCGTGTGTGGACAGCGAAGGGCTTGGGCTTTGCTGGAAGAGAGGCCCGAGGAGGTCTGAGAGAGCCTGGAGCCAAGCTGGCCACTGCTGCGGAGAAAGCGAGGGGGGATTTCACACAGATGTTTGCAGACTGCACCCCGTCTGGCCGTCCACCCTGGGACGTGTCAGGCTGTAACCCTCACCATTTCTTTCTCGATCCAGTCCCGGCCTGTGTCCAGCCGAACCTCCTGGGACTGTCTCAAGATACTGGTGGTAGCAAGAGTTTCCGTCTGTGTTCCTTTTTTATAGCACATCCGTGTGATGAAATGAGATGAAAGTGGACAGCAGATTGTGGCTGAAGGGAGGAAACGAGTCAGGAATAGGCAGCCTGGAGCTGCCAGAAGGACACTTTCTTTGCAAAGAAGAATTCTATTTGTCTTGATTACATATTGGGATTCAGTGATCATTTGCACAAAACGATAGGATAATTCTTTTTTTTTTTATTGTGAAAATACTATACAGAGGTGTTACAATTACATTGGCAAGATAATGAGTACATTTCTTATCAAGCATTGTTGCCTCCTCCTTTGTTTCCCCTTCTCATCCTTTCCCATTCCCCCCACCTCCCCACCCAATCCTTCCCCCTCTCCCTGTGTTCCCCCCAACCAAAGTTGTAAAGTTTGTTTTTCAGCATAACGATTTGTACATCTCTTTGTTGCAATGGGTCCACCTGTATCCCTATTTAAATGATTTGTTTTTTCCCTTCCCCTCCACAAATTATACTGACATCAAATACAGTGAAAGCAGGGGTTATACTTTGGGGGAGGGACATACAAAGCAACAAAGAAATCATCTTATAAATATGTTTGAAACAATCGCATGAAAGAAAAAAACATTTGAATACTTATCTTGGGGTTCATTTCCCTAACATCAACTTATCTGACCTTTTCTGCTTGACTGAGACATATACTAGTTATTGCAAATAAGGGAAACCATGGGACCTATGTTTCTTTGGGCCTGGCTTACTTCACTTAATATAATTTTTTCCAAGTCTTAATATTTCCTAACAAATGGGGTAATGTCATTCTTCCTGATGGAGGCATAGAATTCCATTGTGTATATATACCATATTTTCTTGGTCCATTCATCTACTGAGGGGCATCTGGGTTGGTTCCATATCTTAGCTATGGTAAATAATGCTGCAAGAAATATAGTTGTGCTGGTAGCTTTAGTGTGGTCTTGTTTGTGATCATTTGGGTAAATGCCCAAAAGTGGGATTGCTGGGTGATAGGGGAGTTCTATGTGGAGTCTTTTGAGGAACCTCCATACTGCTTTACAAAGTGGTTGAACAAGTTTACACTCCTACCAACAATGTAGTAAGGTTCCCTTCTGTCCACATTCCCTCCAGCATCTGTGGTTATTAGAGTTCTTGATTATAGCCATTCTAACTGGGGTGAGGTAGTTTCTCAATGTTGTTTTGATTTGCATTTCTTTTATGGCTAGAGAGGTTGAGCATTTCTTCATGTATCTATTGGCCAGATAGGAAAATTCTTTATATTTTTAGTGCATGGAGTACTTGATTATTTCTGGTCTTGTTAATATCATGACCTAGACTTTTTTTTTTGTGTGTGTCAATCCTGGGGCTTGAACTCGGGCTGTGGCTGTTGTCTGTCTCTGAGCTTCTTTGTTCAAGGCTAGTAGTGCTCAGCTACCCGAGCCACAGTCTACCTCCAGGTTATTTTGGAGATTGGAGATAAGAGTCTCACAGATGTGCCTGACCTGGCTGGTTTTGAACCTGACCCTTACATCTCAGCCTCTTGAGTGGCTAGGATTGCTGGCAAGAGCCACTGAGCCTGGCTCATATAGACTTTGAAACCTTTTGCTCTTTCTTCCCTCTAAACTGTTGCCTGTTCCTTAAGGAACTTCAAAAGCCAAAGACCACTAGGCCTATGGGCAGGGTGTCTTCCATTGAGATCAGCCTGTTTGTGAGAATCTGTAAAGATGACCTCTAACCTATCAGGAGTCATTATGAAAGGAAGTAAAGATATCTTGAGATATATATATATATATACATATATATGCATATATATACATATATTTGAATATTTGAACATTGATTTAAAAGCTGTAGCGGTTCCAGGAAAATATGTCCATGTTTCTTTTTTTTTTTTTTTTTTTTGTCGGCCGTGGGGCTTGAACTCTGGGCCTGGGCGCTGTCCCTCAGCTCTTCAGCTCAAGGCGAGCGCTCTACCACTTGAGCTACAGCGCCACTTCCGGTTTTCTGGTGGTTTATTGGAGATAGGAGTCTCACGGTCTCTCCTGCCCGGGCTGGCTTTGAACCGCGATCCTCAGATCTCAGCCTCCTGAGTAGCTAGGATTACAGGCGTGAGCCACCAGCGCCCGGCTGTCCATGTTTCTTTTGCCTCAAACTCTGCTGAAATTCTGGAGGTACCCATTAATTATGATTAACACAGAACAATCAGAATCAGATCAACTCTATTATCTGAAGTAGTGGAAATGATTAAGTCAGTGGCCAGTGGTGACACTTCCTTGGGAGAAGCGTGGGCATCTTTTGCTCGTCGGTGCTCTGCTTCCTCTGTGTGGTTACCCACTGTCCCCGCCGGAGCAAGTCTACTGACAGGTGTTCAATATGCGTAACTATAATTGTTGTTATGGAAACTGCTCCTCAGAAAAGAGCTTGGTAGTTTTAGATACTAATAGGTCTATCTCTAACTTCCTTGTCACGGTGGGGTGTTTATGCCTAGGTGGCTGCCTCCTCTTCCTCCCTGCGAAGAATGTTAGACAGACTCTTGGAAAGCACTTAAGGAGAAGTGATTGGAGAAGAGATAGATTTTGTCCCCACACTCCCTGTCCCATCTGTGAGATGACTTTGGCTGAATGCTGATGTGAAGTATAACATCATTATTATTTTAAGCTTACTGAGATTTTTCGAGGAGAAGGTTTAAGTTAGAAACTTTTGGGTTCTACAACCTGTTTAGCAGCAGAGAAAGTCAGTTTGGAATTTATCAGATGCGACATGGTATTTTAAAAACTGGATTCTCAGCTGGGCCTAGTGGTGCGTGCGTGTAATACACTACGCAGGAGGCCAACGCAGGATGATGATGAATTTGAAGGCAGCCTGGACTGCACTGTGAGATCTTATTACAAACACAAGCAAAACAAAATTGCATGCCAGAGGCTTTTGGTTATAAAGGCTTTTTTTTCCCACTCATGCATGATGTACTGTTTGTAGGGAATATTTTCTGTTTAAGATTTTTATCTCTCAACAGATTTCACTATTTCCATCTATAATTTTATAAGGATTTAATAAAATGTTAATAAGGGTATTTATGTGCATATATATCCTTATTTATAGATTAAACATGCGCTATCTGAATCAAGTATATGATACGGTTAAGTTAAAGCATTTCAGTCTACTTAATTTCTGTGATACTGTAGATTGAACCCATGGCCTCACACCTGCTAGATAAGACTCTATACTGAGCTAGCCCAAGCAACCTGATAAACGTTGAAAGGGGGAAGACTAGGGAAATATTACTTGGGATCTGTGATCTGGTGATCAATATTAGACAGTCATTGTTTATAAGGCTGTATTTTTATGTTAAAAATATCTTGACTACATAGGTTATGTCCAGCTTGATTCATTTAAAAGCTGTGCAAGTTATTGGAAGATTGCGTTCTCAGTGGAATGTGTGACAATAAAAGCACAAATGCATGTGCATGTTTAGTAATACCCAAAATCCCGTGGACCCAGAGGTAAAATTATTAGATAAGAGCAATGGAGAAAAATAAAGCAAAGACGTGATGAGAGAGAGCGAGAATGAATGAGAGACAGACAGAAAAAGACAGAGACAGAATGAACTTGTCTCCTTCACCTCCCCAGGTGTTGCTCTCGGCATAGATCTGCCCTGTCTCGTTAGTCTCAAGTAGAGGGTAATTAAGTCATCCTTCCTGACACTACCTGGGAATAAAAGCTACATTTACTTCTAGAATGTGACTTAGCAGGCAAAAACCAAGGTATGAGCCGGCTATAGGTATGTATGGCAGTGCTTTTACCTCCATGGCCCTTTCGGTATGATGGTGATTTAAGGAGCTGTGATTGTAAATAATTGCTAAGTCATGAAATGGGCTGGCTGTAATAATGCATTCACAGTTGCTCAGTCTGGCGGAGACAGAGACACCGTTTATGCTCCCACATGAATGTCAAAGCCCTTTTACAGATGCGATATTCCCCTCGGCCTCTACCTCAAGAAGATTCTAGAGCAATTCTTATGTGTTCTACAATGATCAAGGAAGACATTCTTCCTCCTCTTTGTGGTGAAGAGGATAAGGTCTGTCTGGGTTCTTTATCTTTGAATATCCAGGTTTGAAGTCGCCTTTGCTAGTCTTCAAAGAGCAACTGATGTTCTTCATGTGGCTCTGTTCCTGGGCGATCTGTTTTCTTGCATTGATCTATTTATCTGTTCTCTTGCCTGTCACACACTGCCTTCATTAGTTTAGATCCATAATAAGCAGTGTTCACCCCGTTGGAGTCCACAAAATAATTGCAGGACTTTGATTGGATTCGCTTTAAAAGTTTAAACCAAGTTTGTTAGCATATTGAGGCATGTCTTCTGTACATGTGGGACACGTCTCCATTTATTTACCTCTTCTTTGATTTCTTTTCACTCCTGTTTTATATTGTTCATCATGTAGAATTTATACATACTTTTTGTTAGATTTATGCAAGGTATTTTGATGTTTGGTGCTTAGATAGATGATTAATCCTAATGACTTGTTATTTATCACTGGAAATCTGGAAGCACTTGACTTTTCATATGAGCGGTATCAGAAAATGGATGATGAGTTTTAGGAGTTTGTAACCATTATGGTTGATTTTAAGGGGATGAGGAGTGACACTCTTATTTATAAAGGCATTTTTGGTTCTTTTATCCTAATATGTATAATTGGAATTTCCTTCTTGCATTAGATTCAACTTTGAATCCATTCTTGATTATGGTTTGGGGGACGGCTCTTGTCTTTTCCTAATATCAATGGTGTTGGTAGGAAATCATGAGTACATTAGCTATGGGTTTTTTTTTTTTTATTGATATTCTTTATCAAGTTGAGGAAGCTCCTCTCTGTTTGTACTTGGCTGAGAAGTTTTATATTTGGCATGATCATAGATTGTTTTTCCTTTAGCCTGATGGATGTGTGATGGGTGATATCAATTATGTTCTTCATCTACTCAAGAGTAGCATTTGGCTGCAGTACATTTTGGCTTTGAAATAAAAAATAGTGATTCCTATTAGTTAGATATTTAATAAATTATCTTATTAAAAAAAACACAACTCCTGATGATTTTTCAAAGGAGATGGGATTTCTGCAGTGCACGAGAATTCACTGAAAATTAAGTTGAAAAAAAATGAAGGATCTCTAGTGTTATTTTATTGCCCAGGCTGACCTCAAGCCACAAACCTCCAGATCTCAGCCTCCTGAGTAGCTAGGATAGCAGGCGGCTTCCACTTCTTGATTCCTTGCCCTCCCCTCAGATAGTGACCTCATCACTATGACATCATCTGGAGAAGATTTCTCCTGGCATGGCCCATGTGGCCTGGTCTGTGTGTGCAGGGGTCTCTTCACAGTGTCCATTTTGTTAAATTGCTAATGTGTTTTATGAGATGATTCTATACTCAGAGGCCTCTAATTGGAATTGTGTATCCTATAAAATTTTATGGTGCTGTCAGCCCTGAGGAGCTTGTAAGGATTTGTGCTTTTATTAGTATGCTAATGTAGTCTTTTCTGGGCCTCAGATTTTTAAAGATGAACTCTCCTAGCTGTCAGAATGCCTGCTTTTTACTGAGAAAACAGGTGGCTCCACAGCCAAGATAAGACCCAGACTATATTTCATAGCCCCCATTTCTAAAATAGTTAACTCCTTTTATCTCGTTGGACAATATGATAAAAGCTACGAGAAGTCAAATTCATGATATAGCAAGACCAATTTGTATTATAGAAAAATAACCTTAGACAACCTCTTCAGGGAATTTTATGTGATGAGTTTCAAGTGTGAGTTCCTTAATGTGATATTTCATATTAAAGCATAACATGTGATACAGACATGACTTTATAGCCCGAAGGCTGACATTTCTCCAGTCTTACAGAATGAGCTCACACAGGTGTACATATATATATATATATATATATATATATATATATATATAATATAATATATTTGTATGTATTTAACTTCCATTCAATGGAATTGTAGTCATTTTGACTTTTTCTGATTTGTGAATTGGAATTTTTTGAAGTTTTGTTTAAAATAATAACAATGTCCAGTTATCTTCTTTTCCCCAATATTTGTAACACTATTTTGGTACTCTGCCAAAAAGTCAATGTGATTTTGTTTTTTTCTCTTTTGGTTGTTGTTGTTGGTGGTGGTATTTGTTTTTGCTTTTTTTCTTTTTTTCCTTTGTTGGCCATGGGGCATGATCTCTGGGCCTGGGCACTGTCCCTCAGCAATTCAGCTCAAGGCAAGCGCTCTACCTCTTGAGCCACAGCACCACTTGCTGGTTTTCTGAGTGGTTTATTGGAGATAAGAGTCTCAGAGACTTTCCTGCCAGGGCTGGCTTTGAACTATGATCCTCAGATCTCAGCCTCCTGAGTAGCTAAGATTACAGGCGTGAGCCACTGGCATCCGGCTGGTTTGTTCTTTTATTCTGGGAGAGTGAAGGGGGGGGGCAGAAAGAGAGGGAGGAAGGATGAACAAACGCAGTATAAACTATATAGAAAATGGCCTGTGTAACTTGTAGGCAGGAATGGGAAGGGGAAATGGAAGGAAGTAAAGGAAGGAGTGACATTGTCCAAAAAAAAAAAAAAAAAGAAAAGAAAAAAAAAAGAAGTGTACTCCTTGACAGACTGAAGAAATGGTAGCCCTCTGTACCACACCTTAATAACAATAAAAAATATTTTTAAAAGCCCACATTGAACAGGGAGCTGGCTGTGTGTCTCTCCGTTTCAAACAAGTGAAACCTGTTAAGCTCAAAACTTGGACATCTTTTTGTTTCAACAGAACTGTCCATTATGAAGGTGGAGCTGTATCTGTTCATGCACGCTCCCTTTGGAGACTAGAGACGCTAAGAGTTGCGTAAGTAGAACTTACATGGGAGCCGGGGACTCCCATGGAGCAGAGCACCCCGTGTCCTGGGCCTCGGTATCCCCATTACTCAGTCCTGTTAACAGGTCCAGCGCAGGAGCACAGAAACACAGAGTGATGGAGGTTTTCCCTCTCCTCTCTCCCCTCCCTCATTGGTTACTTCGCTTATCTTGATTTGCATATCCACTTTAGAACCAGGTGGTAGACCTGAGAATTTAATTTCCTTTGTAATGAAATGCTTTGTAACAGCATCTTGTCTGGACTCTGTGTCTCCACGGACAGCATGCTAGGAAGAGAGAGGCATGGTTTGGAGGCAGGGCTAGTTGTCTGCCAGCCCGTTGCTCATGTCTAGTTGGAAATGCTCTGAATTTAACCTCCTTAAAGGCACATGTGAAGCAGAGGAGATGTGAACTCCAGAGATTAAAAAATGCTCTCTACTTACAAATAGCTTGATAACAGAGCAAGAAGTATGAATTGTAATAAAAGTTACTATATGTTCATTATAGCAACAAGAATTTATATACACATACATTTATGCATACTATTTCTGGGGAATTCAAAGGGTGTGTAAAGAGTGGCCCTTTAGTTCTTCTCAATAATTGCTTTTAAATAAATAAAATGATTATTTTGGTATGCGTGCCAGTCCTAGTGCTTGAACCTAGGGCCTGGGGCTCTGTCCCTGAGCTTCTTTTGCTCAAGGCTAGTACTTTACCATTTGAGCCACAGCTCTACTTCTAGCTTTTTGCTGATTAATTGGAGATAAGAGTCTCACAGACATTTTTGGCCAGGCTGGCTTTGAACTGCCATCCTCAGATCTTAACCTCCTGAGTAGCTAGGATTTCAGGTGGGAGCTACCACTGCTCAGCAATAAAATGATTTTTGAAAGGCATCATTATAAATGGAATGAAAATATCAGCCAGATTTTTTTAAATAACTGGGCAGTTTGATCTTTGTGTAAACATGAGTTTTCAATGTGGTATTATACTGTGAGGAAGTTACTTTGATAGGGTTATGGACTCCTTGGTTAAGGTGAGGAACCGTCTTAGCTAGAGTAGCTACCTTTACATTGTGTGTGTGTGTGTGTGTGTGTGTGTGTGTGTGTGTGTGTGTGTGTGTGTGTGTGTGTGTGTGTGTGTGTGTGTGTGTGTGTGTGTGTGTGTGTGTGATTATCACCTATCTAATGGTGAGTAGAATGATTTTGTGATCTTCATTTCCTTTGGGTGAGAGCATTCCATAGAGTAATTCTGGAAAAAACTTTTACATCCTTGAATGTGGGAAGGTTGACATAGAAAAATGTCAGTACCAGTTTAATTAGATCTGTGGAGGTTAACTTCTCCTACAGTAAAGGGCTGACTATTTAAAATAAAACGTTTGCACCATTCTTTTCAGGGTATCCAACTGATAATAAAAACATGCCCCTGTCCATTGACTTACAAATACTTGAACTCTCAGAATGTAAAGCATACCTTCTTCTTATTTCTTTTAACTCTCTCCTAACAGATGGACAGGCTCTTCTTTTTGTCTTGCTTATATACTATCCTTAGCAACACAATGTTTTATCTAAATTTTTACATTTCCTTCCTTCCTCCCTTCTTCCTTCCTTCCTTCCTCCCTTCTTCCTTCCTTCCTTCCTTCCTCCCTTCCTCCCTTCCTCCCTTCCTTCCTCCCTCCTTCCCTCCCTCCTTCCCTCCCTCCCTCCTTTCCTTCCTTCCTTCCTTCCTTTCTTCCATCCTTCCTTCTGTATGTTTGTCATGAGGCTTGAACTCTGGGTCTAGGAGCTGTCCCTAGGCTCTTCAGCTCAAGACTAGTACTCTACCACTTGAGTCACAGTGCCACTCCCAGTTTTCTGGTGGTTTATTGGAGATAAGAGTCTCATGAACTTTTCTGCCTGGGCTGGCTTTGAACTGTGATCCTCAGATCTCAGCCTCCTGAGTAGCTGACAGGCGTGAGCCACCAGTGCCTGGCTCTATTTTCTTTCAGTCTGTCTTTTTTTCTTTCTTTCTTTTTTTTAAGTTCCAGGTTAGCCAGGTGTTAGTAGCTCACACCCTTCATCCTAACTCTCTCCAATTACCAAAAAAACCAGAAGTGGAGCAGTGGCTCAAATGATAGAGCACTAACCTTGAGCAAAAATGTTCTAGGACAGCATCAAGGCCCTGAGTTCAAGCCCCAAGACTGGCACAAAACAAACAATAATAACAGTGAACAAGTTCTAGATTAGTAACACTGGTTTAAATGAACTTGTTTACTTCATGTGGATGTGCAGCTGGTGAAATGTGCCTCCCTATGAAACCCTTAGACAAACATTGAGCTTAAAGGTTCCATGTTGTTGGACATGCATCTCTTAGTCAGTGCAAAAAAGTGAAGCTACAACTGTCCTCCGCCAGGTGGAGCGGGAGCCACATCCGATGGGGCCAGCCCTTCCGGCTTCGTCACGTCACCACCGGCAGGTACTTAAGTCTCCTGGAGGACAAAAACCTGCTGCTCATGGACAAAGAAAAAGCTGATGTGAAATCAACAGCATTTACCTTCCGGTCTTCTAAGGTAAGGTAGAATCTATTCTTTTGGAGTTCCCGTTGTATTTCTTGAGGTCTCTGAATCCTACTCTTCCATCCATTCTTCTCTAGGAAAATCAATTCCATAAACCACCAGGACCTGCCCAGATATTTCACTGGGCTTATTAGTTCTTCAGTCTTACAACCCATCCATCCATCCATCCACCCATCCTTTTGTCTGTCTATCTATCCATCTATCCATCCATCTACCCATCCACCCATCCTTTTGTCTGTCCATCCATCCATCCATCCATCCATCCATCCATCCATCCATCCATCCATCCATCCATCCATCCATCCATCCATCCATCCATCCATCCATCCTTCCAGCCAGCCACCAGCACCCAATACCTTGCAATGATGTACCTTTTTTGTTAAGGGCTTAATCTAAACCACTGTTATAGGTGGATCTACCTGCTTAGCTCCAGCAAATTGCTTTATGATAACTGTATCTTTATTGCTTTAGCTTTGTGAAAATGCTGAAATTTAGTCTTATGATGGGAATGATGTGGAATAGTGGCTAGCTTCTCTTTTAGAAAGGCAAAACCATAAAGAGTTTGACTTTGATTTGTATTTCTGAGACTCGTTTGTATGTGGACATAGTTACCTTTTGAATATTATCTAGGGCTTTCCCACTTTTAATTTTTATGTTGTTTATATAGTTACTTGGTTGTTTTCTTTTGTGCCAGTACTGGGGCTTGAACTCATGACTTGGGCATCATCTGTGTTTCTTTTATGCATGAGTGATAGGAAATGAAGGGGAGAAAGAACATGACTGGCCTGGAAGTTTTTATCCAGCAAATAATCACTCTTCCTTTCCTAATGGTACCTTGGCAGTTATTAACTAACACAGGGTCAGAGTAACTCTTAGGACACAGTCATTGGGAGACTTCATAATTAAAATTTCCTCATCACCAGAGTGATGTCAACCATTTCCACCAAAAGCGAACAAGGCATAACTTTACAATTAATGAGCGTGTGCCTTCTCAAAACATAATCTGTAGCTCCTAGATAATTAGACTACAAACTAATTCTTTTTTGGATAAAAGAAAAAAATGTTTTATATAGGCTCATTGTTTTCTTTTTAAGAGATAATTCTATGGCTATATTTTCCCCTAGAATGCAATTCTCCTATTGACAGACTTAGTATAAGTAGATTAGTAGTTTACCTCATTTGATACCATGAAATTGAAATGGTTTATTATCTGTTTTATTGCAGACTCTTAGAATGAGGCTCCAAGTTATTTGCATAATAGTTAATTCAACTTAATTGATGATCGTATATTTTCCTAGAGGACCTTAACCTTTCTGTTTTGAGAATTTTAACTCATTTTGATTTTAAGAAGTTTTCTAATCACTTTAGAATCATTAGTTACAAGTACAAACTGAAAAGGACATGAAAAATCTGAAATTTTGTAGGTTCCCCCCCCCCCCTTAATCATTTTCTTATATAGCACGTACATTTCACTTCAATTTAAAAATATTTGTGTAAGCCGGGCACCAGTGGCTCACGCCTGTAATCCTAGCTACTCAGGAGGCTGAAATCTGAGGATTGAGGTTCAAAGCCAGCCCAGGCAGGAAAGTCTGAGAGACTCTTATCTCCAATAAACCACTAGAAAACCGGAAGTGGCGCTGTAGCTCAAGTGGTAAAGCACTTGCCTTGAGCTGAAGAGCACAGGGACAGCGCCCAAGCCCAGAATTCAAGCCCCACGACCAACCAAGAAAAAAAAAATTGTGTAGCTGCAGTTAAGTTCAGACAGCAAATATCAAAGACATAGGAGAAAAATAGGGTAGTTTGAAGAAGGAAAGCTAATCAAGGAAGAAGAGAATAAGGAAGCCACAGCAACGAGGTACACAAGGTTTCTGTACTGTGGTTTCTAGGCTGTTATTTCCAAGGGGAATTTTACTCCCTTTCAGAAGGAAAACGTCCACCATTCGAGTTGGAAACTGCAGTAGCAGAAATTGAATTAAAAAGAAATAACCATTAGCAATATCATCATCATGGTCAAAACTATCAGAGTTTATTTGTGTGCAGATTTAATTCCAGGCTCCATGCTAAACACTTTAGATGTCATTTAGGTCAGATTTTTCTCATTACAAGCATCATCTCATGTTTTTGATTGTTCATTGAGGTACTGTTGCTAATTTTATTTATCCATGAGAAAACTGGGGCTTTGCATTTCTAATTCACTGGTTAATGTCTTCGAGGCAATAAGTAACAAAGATTGTCCTGTAAAATGAATGTTTTTGAACACTCATCTATCTTTTTTTTTTTTTTTTAACATTTTTTAATTGTGAAAATACCGTACAGAGGAGTTACAATTACATGGGCAAGATAATAAGTACATTTCTTATCAAGCATTGTTGCCTCCTCCTTTGTTTCCCCTTCCTATCCCTTCCCATTTCCCCACCCCGTACCTTCTCCAGGACAAAGTTGTAAAGTTCATTTTTTGACATAACGACTTGTACATCTCATTGTTGCAATGGGTCCACCTGTATCCCTATTTAAACCATTTGTTTTTCCCCTTCCCCTCCACAAATTATACCAACATCAAATACTTTGAAAGCAGGGGTTATACTGTGGGGGAGGGACATATAAAGCAACAAAGAAAACAAAGAAATAATCTTATAAATGTGTTAGAAACAATTGCATGAAAGAAAAAATATTTGAACACTCATCTATCTTGTTCACTATTAATAATGAGAAGATAAAATAATATTGAGCTTAAATGACTTAATTTTAAGTCTCTTCACTTCATGTTTGCTGTTAAGTCAAGTAAGACTTTTATGTGATGGCCAAAATATATTCTACTCATGTAAATAATTCAAGAATATGTTATTTGTCTTGGTAAGTTTCCTGGTTTGGTTTTCAATGGAGATTGAATTAGAACAGTAGAATATATGACCATTAGGATTTCAGTGGATTTCTGAGGGCTGAATCTTAATAAGGAATCTGTTTACAGCAGGGCCATCTCCTGTTGATATAAGCTAGTTTTTTGGTTTTTTGTTCGTTTGTTTGTTTTTTAATTTGAATCTTTGCTGATCTCTTTTTCTACTTAGGAAAAATTAGATGTTGGAATAAGAAAAGAAGTCGATGGCATGGGAACGTCAGAAATAAAATACGGGGACTCTGTCTGCTACATTCAGCACGTCGACACAGGCCTGTGGCTCACCTACCAGTCTGTGGATGTGAAATCCGCAAGAATGGGATCCGTCCAGCGCAAGGTGAGCCTGTAGAATCACTCACGGGTGGAGGCCATTGGAGGGATTAGCTCCTACACACCCACCACCCAGAGACTTAGCAAACCCTGCCAGCTCAGCCTCCTGCTCAAGGTCATTTTCGCAATGTTCAAGGTCACTTCCCTCCATGGGTGTATTTTAGTATTGTATCCAATGCTGCTGTAAGCCATGTTGCACGCCAGTGCCTCCAGCCCCATCTGCCCCGTTTGTCCCACTGGGAGGCAACACTGGAAGAAGTGAGCTCTTCTGTTACCTTAAAGCTTCAACCCTTTTAAAATCCCTTGGAGGAAAAATTCCACTGTAATAGACCTTGTAGTTTTATAATTCAAACCATTGTCTTGATATTATTACACCACGGATGGAGCGGATGAATGGATTCATGGATGTAAATATTAATGGAAGAAGACCTTCCTTTTTGGGCCCTAGTTTAGTGGGCCTAATTCCTTCTTTTGTCCTCTGTCCTGGCTGCTGCTAGGTCCTTCACCGGTTTCATCTTATTCACAGGACAGAGATCACACTTGTTGGTCATCATGTGCAGCCCTTCCTGTCCTTCCTCCATTCTCCTATTCGTACGGGTTGCTAGGCTAGATGTCCATGCTCAGTGTTCCCAGTGTGTCACTTTAAACAAGTGTGCAGTTCCTCAGAACACCATGGCTTTTACCTACCTGTGCTTTCAAAAGCAATTGGTCATTCATGGGCCTAGAACTCAGGGCCTGGGTGCTGTCCCTGAGTTCTTTTTGTTCAAGGCTAGTCCTCTACCGGTTGGAGCCACAGTACAGTACCACTTGTGGTTTTCTGATGATGAGTTGGAAATAAGAGTCTCATGGCCTTTCCTGCCTAGGGCTGGCATCAAACTGCTAACCTCAGAGCTCAGCCTCCTGAATAGCTAAGATGACAGGTGTGAGCCACTGGTGCTGGGCCATGCCTGTGCTTTGCATAGAATTGTTTTACCATTTGGAGTGTCCTTTGAAACCTTTCTTTCCACCTCATTTCTACCCATCATTCAGGAGTTAAATGCAAAAGATCAATTTAGAAGTCATTCCAATATCAGTGAATCTACTGCCCTCTTTCTATGATCCTATAACATATCCACATCTAGCTTATGGCGTTGTATAGATGCTCCTGTGCTATTCTTTTCACTAGCTACAGGTCTTTCTGTCTCTTCTGGTCTGGTCTGTGAGTTTCCTGAGGGCGTGAATGGCGGTAGATGGGTCATATTTTTATGCATGACATGCTGCACAGTGCACAGAACTAAACAATGAGACCTTTTGGGAAAGGTGAGACCTGGGTAAGGAAGGCTTTCATGAGGCAGAAGGTTTTATTTTCAATAAACTTCTGTTTTGCCATATAGCTCATTCGGGCCACTGGGATGGATTTAGAGTAACTGGTGCTGGTTGTAGGAAGGTGGAAACCGGTGCAGATAGAGTTGGGCTGGAGTGCAGCCTTCTGTTTCCATCTCAGGCATGTGAGTACAGGTCCAGTTCTCTTGTGAGGCCCTTCTCATTAGAATGAGATGGCCACCTGCCTTCAACTTCCTTGACCTGGGCTCACTAATCTATGAAGTGGTCGTATAGATTCTCTGTATACAAAGCGTTTTTCCTCTCCTGAAGTTGAACCTGGCTGTGATAAAACATGTGGAGAGTTCAAATACAAACCAAGTCCACAGAATCACAAGTACACGGTCCTGTGGATCCTGGGTTTCCACCATTCCCTTCCATATGTGAATGCTGTCATTGCCATGGTCACACTCGCTTCCTTGGCCGTGTCCCAGGGGACATGGCTACTTGTTCTCAGTGACTAGAAGTGTATACACATTGAAATGCAAACTCTTAGCTGTAGAGTTCGTTGGTAGTGGTGGTAGACGTGGTATTAATGGTGGAGGTGGTGTTGGTGTAGGAGGTTGTGTTGGTGGTGGAGGTGGTGGTGGTGGAGGAGGTGGTGTTGTTGGAGGACGTGGTGATGATGAAGGTGGTGATGGTGGCGGAGGTAGTGATGGTGGTGGAGGTGGTGATGGTGGAGCCGGTAGTGTTGGTGATGGTGGTGGAGGTGGTGTTGGTGGAGGAGGTGGTGTTGGTGGAGGAAGTGATGATGGTGATGGAGGTGGCGGCAGTGGAGGTGGTGGTGTTGATGAAGGAGGTGTTGATGGTGGTGATGGTGGTGGAGGTGGTGATGGTGGAGGAGGTGGTGTTTGGTGGAGGAAGTGATGATGGTAATGGATGTGGTGGTAGTAGAGGTGGTGGTGGAGGAGGTGGTGTTGGTGGAGGACGTGGTGATGATGAAGGTGGTGATGGTGGTGGAGGTAGTGATAGTGGTGGAGGTGGTGATAGTGGAGGAGGTGGTGTTGGTGGAGGAAGTGATGATGGTGATGGAGGTGGTGGCAGTGGAGGTGGTGGTGTAGGTGGTGGTGTTGGTGGAGGAGGTGTTGATAGTGGAGGTGGTGATGGTGGTGGAGGTGGTGATGGTGGAGGAGGTGGTGTTGGTGGAGGAAATGATGATGGTGATGGACGTGGTGGTAGTAGAGGTGGTGGTGGAGGTGGTGGTGTTGATGGAGGAGGTATTGATGTGGAGGTGTTGATGGTGGAGGTGGTGGTGATGGTGGAGGAGGGAGTGTTGGTAATGGTGGTAGAAGTGGTGTTGGTGGAGGAGGCGGTGTTGGTGGAGGAAGTGATGGAGGTGGTGGCAGGGGAGGTGGTGGTGGTAGAGGAGGTGGTGTTGGTGGAGGAAGTAGTGATGGTTGAGGTGATGGTGGTGGTGGTAGAGGTGGTGGTGGAGGAGGTGATGGTGGAGGAGGTGGTGGTAGAGGTAGAGGTGGTATTGGTGATAGAGGTGGTTGTTGGTGGTGGTGATAGTGGTGGTGGTGGTGGTGGTGGTGGAGGTAGTATTGGTGATGGTGGTGGTGTTGGTGGAGGAAGTGATGATGGTGGTGGAGGTGGTGGAGGTGGTGGTGGTGGTGGTGGTATTGGAGGTGGAGGTGGTGGCGGTGGTGGTGGTGGTGGTGGAGGTGGTGTTGGTGGAGGAGGTGGTATTGGTGGAGGAGGTGGTGATGGTGTTTTTGTTGTTGATGGTGTTGGAGGTAGTGATGGTGTTGGAGGTGGTGATGGTGTTGGTGTTGGTGATGGTGTTGGAGGTGGTGTTGGTATTGGAGGTGGTGTTGGTGGAGGAGGTGGTATTGGTGGAGGAGGTAGTGATGGTGTTTTTATTGTTTATGGTGTTGGAGGTGGTGATGGTGTTGGTGTTGGTGATGGTGTTGGAGGTGGTGTTGGTATTGGAGGTGGTGTTGGTGGAGGAGGTGGTATTGGTGGAGAGGTGTTGTTGTTGGTAGTGATGGTGGAGGAGGTAGTGATGGTGGTGATGGTGGTATTGGTGTTGAAGGTGGTGTTGATGGTGGCGGTGATGGTGTTGGAGGTAGAGGTGGTATTGGTGGTAGAGGTGGTGATGGTGGTAGAGGTGGTATTGGTGGAGATAGTGTTGGTGGTGGAGGTGGTGGAGGTGGTAGTGATGGTGGTGGAGGTGGTGATGGTGGTGGAGGTAGTGATGGTGGTGGAGATGGTGATGGTAGTGGAGGTGGTGTTGGTGGTGGAGGTGGTGTTGGTGTTGGAGGTGGTGATGGTGGTGGAGGTAGTGTTGGTGGTGGAGGTGGTGTTGGTGTTGGAGGTGGTGATGGTGGTGGAGATAGTTGTGGTAGAGGTGGTGGTAATGGTGGTGGAGGTGGTGTTAGTGGTGGAGATGGTGATGGTAGTGGAGGTGGTGTTGGTGTTGGAGGTGGTGATGGTGGTGGAGGTAGTGTTGGTGGAGGTAGTATTGGTAGAGGTAGTGTTGGTGGAGTTGGTTTGGTGGTAGAAGTGGTGTTGGTGAAGGTGATAGAGGTGGTTTTGGTGGTAGAGATGGTGTTGGTGGAGGTGTAGATGGTGGAGGTGATGGTGATGGTGCCGGTTCTGGGTTTGATCCCAGTGGTTTCATGGTGTGATGCATGCATTTACCAACAGAGGGAATGTTTCCATTTCTCCAGAAAGTTGCTCTGCATTCCTTCCCACAGCATCTCATTCCCTCTCTACAGTGAGTTTTTTCTTTTACTTTTTGTAACCAAACATTCATGCTGCCCAATACCTGGATATCACCTAAATGAAACCACACAGTGCCACCACAAGAAGTTCTCCTTTTCTTCTATATCCTTCTTAGAAAATGTCACCCAGCTTCCCTGTACATTTCAGGTGCCCTTTTTCCTCTCGTGGCAAGATTTTACTCCTTTCTGATAAAAGTTGTAAACTCCTGCATCTTAGCGACAATTGAAATGGCTTTTATATAAGTCTCCTATGACTCCCACTTTTCTTAGCTTTTTCAAAATGATCCAGTGATTTCTAGATTTTATTAATGAAGGGAGAAAGAAAACCATGTTTTAGTCTCTTTTAACCTGCCACCAGAAAAAATGTTATCAGACATAAAGTGATTGAAGAATCTTACATGCATGGATAAGGCCTGACTTGAATAGAGTGTGTTATTTTTACAAAGTCCTATTAGACTTCATTTATTAATATTTTATGCAGCTATGTATCTGCGTAAAGGAAATCAACTTTATGAGGAGTTAAGTTTGAATTTCATATAATTTTCGTATGTCACAAAAAACCATGCTCTTTTGGCATTTAAAGATATTAAAACTGTTCCTTGCCTGGCATTGGTGGCTCAGTATCTAGGATTATAGAATCCTAGATACTCAGGAGGCTGAGATCTGAGGATCACAGTTCAAAGCTAGCCTGGGCTGGAAAGTCAGTGAGACTCTTATCTTCAATAAACCACCAGAAAACCAGAAGTGGTACTATGGATCAAATGGTAGAGCGCCAGCCTTGAGCTGAAGAGCTGAGGGATAGCGCCCAGGCCCAGAGTTGAAGGCCCATGACTGACAAAAGAACAACAAAACAAAAACAACTGTTCCTTGCTAATAGGCTTCAAGAAAGCAGACAATAACCCATCACTTGCTAAACCCTGGTCTAACCTAGGCTACCATCAAGAATAGCTATTCCTGGAGGCTTATCAGAGTTCACCTGTAGAATCATCTTGTCCTGTGGTTTTTTTAGATATTGAATCTTTAAAAATGATCTTTTCAATATTTTCTGAAGACACTTTTCTAGTTAATATTAGTAATCGTAATTGGTAATTAGTAATTAGTAATAGTTTCTTGTTTGAAACGGTGTCTTTCTCTCTATTGCTGTTCAGGTTGTTCTCAGGTTCCTAGGCCCCTGTGACCTCAGCCTTAGCCTCCTGAGAAGCCAGGACTATAGGCGTGTGCTGTGGCATCCAGCTACACTGATTATTCTTGTCTGTCTATGAATCCATCCTCTTCTTCTGGATTTCCCAGGCTTGTTTGCTGTATGTGTTTTTTTTTTTTTTTTTTTTTTGCCACAGAGTTGTACACAGCATTCTGTCAGTAATTAATCCCTTTCCACTGTGCTTCCTGCTTCCTATTTTATTTTTAGCCTGGTTTGTGAAGAGGCTTATCTAGTTGTCTTTTTGTAGAATCAAACTTGGGGTTCATCCATCCTTCCTAGGATTTTGTTGCTAGTTCATGAGTTTGTCTTTTTTATCTTCATTAATTCTGCTTCCCACTTTATTTGGCGTCCCATTTTCAATGAGTAATATGTTCCTTCATTGCGGTCGCTTCTTTATTGACAAAGGCAGGCAGGATATAATCTTTGAGCACACGTGTGTATCCGTGGCTTGCTGATTATAGGTTTAGGGTTCCTTCTTGCTTGCTTTCTAGATAGCACATGATTTCAGTCTTTACACTTGATTAGGTGCGCTGTGTTACCTCGCTCCCAGTGTCGCATGAAGGAAGCCAGGTACCAAGCGCTTACTGTGCACTTCTTGCATGTGGCACATAGCTGGTCCCTATGTTGAAAGTCTGGGTTGTGGGTACTGGGAAGGCAGGTCAGGACTAGGCTTTAACAGCTCTAATCAGATCATCTCTTTCATGGTCTGGATGCCGAGTTCGCACATGTTCAGCCCTTCCCTACTCTAATGCTACAAATGCATAGAAAGTTCAGAAATGGAAAGTCTAGCAGAAAAACTGATAGTAAGCATATATACTTAATATTTAGATGCGCTGGGCACTGATGGCTATAATCCTAGCTACTCAGAAGGCTGAGATCTGAGGATCACAGATCAAAGCCAGTCCAGGCAGGAAAGTCTGTGAGACTCTTATCTCCAATTAGCCACTAGAAAATTGGAAGTGGAGCCATGATTCAAAGTGGCAGAACTCTAGCATTGAGCACAAAGAGCTCAGGGACAGTGGTCAGGCCCTGAGTTCAAGTCCTATACCCAACCAAAAAACAATATTTTAGATTTCTTAGAAGTGGTATGTATAAGGGGCTGGGAAGGTGGCTCAGTGGTAGAGCTCTTGCTTTGCATGCCTGAGGCCCTGGGTTTGATTCCTCAGCACCACATAAGCAAAAAGAAAAAAGCCAGAAGTGGCGCTGTGGCTCAAATGGTAGAGCGCTAGCCTTGAGCTGAAGAGCTGAGGGACAGTGCCCAGGCCCAGAGTTCAGGCCCCACGACTGGACCCAAAAAAACAAATAAAAGAAAAAGAAGTGGTATGTACAACTTAGTGATCCCTTGGCCCACTCTATTCCTTTGTACTAGGAGGGTTACAGTGTAACATTATGAACCTTGTGCCATTTCTTTGTGCTGTTTGTTGCTATCATAAACTGTGGGTGAGGGTGGTATCAAAAGGTTCTGCTGTTGGTTTTACCCAACGTAATGCCTTTGCCTTTCCATCCTTTGGAACAATCACCTGTCATTGAATCTGAGCACAATAGCAATCTCAACTCTTTGAGAACGTCTGGTGGTAAGTGTGGTTTGGGGAGGAGTTAGACAGTGTCTCTGATTCCCCTTTCTTCCAGGCTATTATGCACCATGAAGGGCACATGGATGATGGCTTAAATTTATCCAGATCTCAGCACGAAGAATCTCGCACGGCTCGGGTCATCCGCAGCACCGTCTTCCTCTTCAATAGGTTTATAAGGTAATTTTTGTTGCCATGGTTGTTCGATTTTTAAACATTCTTCCTAGATTTACAAGTAAACAGTTCCTAACATATACAATGATCCTACATATATAATGGTGGGTCAGCAGACTACAATCAAAAGTGCTACTTAGAAAATGTTTTAAAATTTAAATAACTGAGCTCATACTCAGGGCCTCTCATGTTTAATTGGTTTGCTTACTCATAGCTGGTGCTCTACCACTTGAGCCATGCTTCCAGTCCAGCATTTTGCTGATTGGGTAGAGATGGAGTCTGACAGACATTTCTGCCTAGGCTTGCTTCAAATCAGGATCCTCTAGGTCTCAGTTTCCTGAGTTCCCAGGATTACAGGCATGAGTGACCAGTACCCAGTTTTATGCCTTTCTTTTTCTTTCAAAAGAATGAACTTTTATATTAGAAATGTCTTATAAACTGTGTATGTCATTTGTAGTTGATCTGTTTGTGCTAGACCTTCTGTAGTGAGGGTATTGGAGATACGTGATGAGATTCAAAATATGTTAAAAAATAAGTGACTCTTATAGTAAGTAATTATCATATAATTGAAATAATTGCATAATCCTCAAGCTCAGTTAAACTTGTGGCCAAAGTATTTTCTGGGAACATTATGCTAATTAACTTTCTGATCTGTGATGGATACCGTCTGTCTCTTCATAATTGCGGATGTGATAGGTGTACGTTTTTCTGTACATCTACAGCATTAGAGCCTGGCATGGTGGTTGGTGCACACCTTTAGAACAGCTTCAGCAGTTCTTGGGGGCTCCTTGGAGATACCTCAGGCCCCGGGAGGGCCCCACAGAGGAGCTGAGGCCTGGCCTGCCCTCTTGGACAGAGCACCCCTCCCCTTTCCACCTGCTTGTATCTGGTGCACTTGTATGTGGTTTTATTTCCAAACCCAACCTAAACCAAGGAAGCTGAGATGTGGGCCGCTGACAGAAGTGTGGGCTGTCCATTCCAGGGGCCTCGATGCTCTGAGCAAGAAAACCAAGGCACCCAGCGTAGACTTGCCCATCGAGTCAGTAAGCCTGAGTCTGCAGGACCTCATCGGCTACTTCCACCCCCCGGATGAGCACCTGGAGCACGAGGACAAGCAGAACCGACTGCGAGCCCTAAAGAACCGGCAGAACCTCTTTCAGGAGGAGGTGCAGCTGCCCACCCTGGGCATTTCTCCTCCACATTCTTCCCATCCATTCCACAGCTTTAAATACTCATGTACATGTAACTATGTGTATATGTACGACACATACAGCTGATGGGTTATTATGCAGCCTTAAAGAGGAATACATCACAAGTGAATGAAATACCTTGCAGGAAAATGGGTGGAACTAGAAAGCAAGTTAAGGGAAATAATTAGACTGGGAAAGACCCACATCACAATTCTCTCTCATATGTAGAATCCAGATCTTTCTAAGGTGTGTGTCTGGGTGGGTGGGAGAGGAGAATGACTGGAGAGAAAACCAAATGACTTATTATTATTATTTTTTTTGTCAGTCGTGGGGCTTGAACTCTGGGCCTGGGCATTTTCCCTGTGCTCTTCAGCTCAAGGCAAGAGCCCTACCGCTTGAGCCACAGCACCACTTCTGGTTTTCTAGTGGTTTATTAGAGATAACAGTCTCATGGACTTTCCTGCCCGGGCTGGCTTTGAACCGTGATCCTCAGATCTCAGCCTCCTGAGTAGCTAGGATGACAGGCATGAGCCACCGGCACCTGGCCGAATGACTTTTCTTTTGGCAAGGCTTTGTGTGTGTGGGGGGGGGGGCAGCAAGAGGGAGGAAGGAAGGTGAGAGGAGAAAGGGGTAGCAGATCTAATGAAGCACATCATTATTTTATGGATGCATGTGATTGATGCATGCAGGATTAATGTAGGGACTGCTTGGAAAGGGAGAAGGAGAGGTGTGTGTGAGCCAAGAGTGCACACATCACTCACGTATGGCAGTGCCCATGGCATGAGCGCTCATTTCACCGTGACTGTATGCTAGTAAGAGAAAACCCACGTCCCTGAATCGTGGCTCAGAGGAGCAGGTCCTTCTTCCCCTCATCTCTGTGGGGATCTGCCCGGGCCTCAGCGCCCCCTCTGTCCGCTGGCGGGCACTGCAGCTGGCTTCGGAAGGCTCACATAAATCCAGAGCCCTGAGTAGCTGCAGATGTTAGAAAAGCTTCAGCTGTGCTCGGGGCTCCCTGGAGACGCCTCCGGCCCCAGAGGCTCTGCACTGGGGAGGATGCTACCCCCTGAGGCCCCCATCCGGGGAGTTGAGGCCCGGGGACTCCCGTCCTGGACACAGCACCCCCTCCCCCTGTCCCCTCTAGGTCCAGTTTTATTCTGTCTCAAGTTCCACTGCTGCGAAGAACTCATGTGCTGTGCTTTACATACAGCATGAGTGACGCAGTTCACATCCCAGTGCTGGTATGGACCCTGGACCATTCCAGGGGTCAGTGGGTGCTCACTGGGCAGCCCAGGGTCCACAGGGCAGCAAGCTCCATGCGCAGTTCCTGCAGCCAGCCAGCAAGTGCTGGTGCCCCTCTGCCTTGTTCTTTTAGATCTATCTTCCTCTTTCTTCCTTTCCCTTCTTCCCTCTTTTCTTTCCTCCCTCCCTTTCTTCCTCCTCTTCCTTCTCTTCCTTCTTCTTCATCTCCTCCTCCCCCTCCTTTCTTCCTCCTCTCTGTCTCTCTCTTGGCAGTACTGGGTTTGTGTACAGGACCTTACACATGTGCTTTTCCACTTGAGCCGTGTCCATCCTCTTTTGCATTATTTTATTTTTCAGGTAGAAAGTTGTACTTGTTCCCAGACCAGCCTCAGATGGTCATCCTCCTCATTGTCCATTCCCTCTCCTCCTCCTCCTTCTCCTCCTCCACCCTCTTCTCCTCTTCTTCTTTCCTCCTCCTCCTCCTTTTCCACTTCCCTTTCCTCCTCCTCTCTCTCCCTTTCCCTCTCCTCCTATTTTTTCTCCTTTCCTCCTTCTCCTTTTCCTCTTCCTCTTTTCTTTTCTCATTCAGATGGGACCTAGAATCATTCCAAAGTTCCTCTTAGATTCTCCGTTATGCAATGAATATTCAAATAAACCAAGTCAGCTGTTGGTGCCTTTTCCTTCCGTGAGCTTTGTGTCCTTCTGCAAACCTTGATTGGCAGAAGTAATAAGACACACCATTTCAAATATAGGCTGCTTCCTGGAGAACTTTCTTATGAGTTTTTTACTTGCTTTATAAATGACTTTTTATTCCCTTTCTCTTACTTAATGTATTGTGTCTTTAATGTAGTGAATGTAATAATACTGGTCTAAGAAAAATGGCCTGCTTTTATACTCTCATATAACCATAGAACCGGCTCTGTGCCCTGTTCATGTAGGCCAGTGGTCCACTCTGCCACAGTATTGTTCTTCTTTGAGCTTGGCTCTTAGAATTTGATGTCCCCTTGGATTATTTGAAGAACATTTCCTTTCACATGCAAATGCCTTTCTTCCTGCTCTTTAAATAAACCATCTTCAGTTTAGCCAATGACAAGCAGACATTCTGTGAGCTGGCCTGTCTTGTCTTATTTTTGGGGGGGAAGGAAGGGGGAGGGGGAGCAGAACTGGTTTCCTAGGTGTTTTTCTCCCACACAGGGGGTGATCAGCCTGGTGTTGGAGTGCATCGACCGGCTGCACGTCTACAGCAGCGCCGCGCACTTTGCTGACGTGGCTGGGAGAGAAGCGGCCCAGTCCTGGAAGTCCATTCTCAACTCTCTCTACGAGCTGCTGGGTAAGTGCCACCGCTCAGCTCTCACCCAAGGCAGGCTTTTCCTCATCAGGGTTTTGGATGTTTTTTGTGGGACCAAAGCCCAGGAGGCTCAGCTCCCAGATCGGGCTCTAGGTAGGAAAGGCAGCGTTGGGTGAAGGAAGGAAGGAAGATGATCCAGGGTGTAATTGTTTGCTGGAGCTACACGAAGCCACACTTGTGGTGGTGTATGTCACATCCTGTGGGCTCTGTGCCAATACAGGTCTTCGTCTTCTTTTTTGGTCATTTTATATTTCCTGTGCCCAGTTAGGCCTCATGGATTTGGCTTGCTGTGGAGGTAGTTTGTCCCTTGTCAAGCTCTTACCCTATTGACTCAATGGTAAGCTAGCTACTTTCCCCTTGGCACTTAGCCTTGGCCTATATTACAGCACGTGTCCCCTTCCTGGTTATATGTGGGCCTACTTTTAAAGAGAACAACAGCGGTCTTCTAGTTTCTTTTAACTTTTGCTCTGGCATAGAGTGGCTCCCCAGTAAGTATGTATTAGCGATCGAGTTCTGGTGGAATAAGAATTTTAAAAAAGCATAAAAAGTGGATAAATATTTTATTGTGTTTTAAAGTAGTTATGCCAAGAGGTTTCAGTTCAACAAAATCAGTTGATAAAGATTTGTAAGATATGGAAGGGTAGTCAAAATGCTTCCAAGGGAAGTTGGACTTCATTGAGCTACCGAGAGCCAGCACAGGCCCGCACATGGCCTCCTGCGCCGGTTCGTGTTCCTGTGGTTTTCTGAGGTGAATCGTGTGATTCGTGATGAGGGGCCCTGGGACTCTGCGCTGGGGTCGAGTGTGCTGGCGTTTCTCTGAACATCACCGAGGATTTGCGACTCTACGGGAATCTGGAATCATGGTCTTACCCCAACAATCATCAGGACAAAGATGCAATGGGGCTGAAGGCGTGAATAGTTCACAGATGCACAACATGCTGGTGTGTAACAGTAGTGTGACCATTCACCTCACACGACACAGCCCGAATTCCTCGATGAACTCCGTGTCCGGGTGCAGGCAGAACGCGGCTGTAGATAATCGGATACAACGAGCATGCTCTAGCTGCATGGGTGTGCGTTCTATCCTAGGAGGGTGCACACTGCTGAGCAACTCCACAGAGTTACTTGGGGAGGAAAGTGGCTTATGTCAATTTGTGGAAGGTGCCAGGGCCCTGGCTGTGCGTATGCCCCTCATCATAATTAGTTGTACAGTTTGCCCTGATTAGAGCATACCTAGACAGGATGAGAAGTTGGGATCTATTCAGCTGGAATTACAGAAAGCCCTGAGTCACAGGGCCTTAGACATCAGAGCATGTATTAGGGCTCACTCGGCCGGCTTTCTACCAGAGTGGGACACTATGGCTCCCCCCTACCCCCCTGCGGCCGGTTCTCCAGAACCAGCTCCCATGTGTCCCTTGTTGACTTCCGGGATCCCTTGCTCTCCCCCAGGGCTCAGCTGTGTGTCTCACATCCTGCAGCCATCCCTGGTTTTGACTGGCAGGGCCCATGCTGAAATTGAGGACGGGGGGCCTTAGACTCCGCTGGAGCTCATGTGGAGAGTGGGTGGGGGGGGGGCAGGGGAGGCTGCAGAGGAAGAACAGCTCTGCCCTACAGCAGCTGTCTGTGTTCACCACGGACCCCGCAGTTTGGCTGAGCTGAATTCAAATCCAGGTACTTGTATGTGTTACCTAGTGCCCTCGGGGGGTGCACTCGGTGAACATTGGCTTTAATTATTCAATAAACAATCACAGCAATTCCCATTGACTTTCTGCGGCATGGTGGACTTGGCTGTCAGTTTCCTTTATTAAAAACCAGCAGGTCTATTACTCCTCCTCCATAGGTCTCTCTCCTTTTTAAAAAAAATTTATTTTTGAATTAGCATACGTTAACAATACAAGGGGGGTTCATAGTGACCATTCCAGAAGAGTGTACTCCATTCTGAGCAGGTTTTCTCTCTCCACTGTACCCGTTTATCTCTGCCCCCAGCCCCCACTTTCACCAGGGTGTGGAGGGTTTGTATAAATGCTGTCATGCATGGATAAAAGCTTTGGTAATAATCATCACTGAGGAAGATGTCAGATTGTGTGTTCCGGACTGGAGGTCAAATCAATGAAATTTACAGAGCCAGATCAACTTCTGCTCTGTGCGATATATAAAACTTTAAATGTGCATAACCTTGCATTTTCTGAACTTCTACTTTAAGAAAGGTGGTCTTGAAAACCACTGGTGCCAAGATAGAAAGAATCTCCACTGTAAAATTGTTTACAAAGACCCTCAATCAATCTCCCTGTCAACAGGAGATTGGTTGTATCAGCTACAGGAGACTCAAATAGTATCAAACATGGAGTGGGCACTGAAAATTAAGATAATGCATTAATGCATTATGTACTGGGGAAGTCATTAGAAACAAGCCAACCACACTGTAGCTCCTTAGTATTTCACTGTGGTATTAAGTATGTGTGTGGGGGAGGGAGGGGAGAGGTAGATTCTGATCACATAAAATTAAAAATGTGCAGGGTTAGCTATGTTCTTGTCTATATATTGGCCATTTCTGAAAGAGTGAACAAAAAATGTTATATGACTATTTCTTGGGAAAAGGATTTGAACCTTTTCATTTATTATGTACCCTTTTAATTGTTTGTTCTTAATCTGTTGGGATTTATTCCTTTTATAACGTGCTTATAAAAATGTACTTAACATGGACTGATGCTTAGAGAAATGGTGATGAGAGGAAAAAGCCTCACATTAAACTTTAGTTAAGTGAAGCAAAATAGAATTTTTTGATAATTGTATGCACACATGAAGATGTTCTCCTCTGAATACAAGGCAGTTTAAATGGGACAGATAGATAGATAGAATTAGGAGAAACTTTATCTTTTAAAACAAGATTCTTTGATTTCTCCTTGTTTTTGTATTGTTCTTATAATGATCATTGGTTTTTAAGCATAAAAAAAAGCGAATAAAGCCCCTTTTTGCTGATGCATAAAAGAAGTCAGAACTATCTGTTTGTTGCAGGCAGTTTGCATTGAATTTGGTGTCATCACAGAGCCACATACACCTGTGTTTATACTTCGGTTTGGAGGCCAGGTCCTAGCTCTGCAGGTGTAACTGGAGTTCTAAAATGTATATTTACCTTAGCTTTCCTTGTGATGCCAACTGGCATTTCCTCCACTACCAAAAACTTGGTTCAAACATCAGCTCCAAAGCCTCCTCTCTTGTTCTTCCACACAGGTAGAGCTACTCTCTCCCGAGGTTGCACGTGAAATATGCCCCCTATTCTTTTCTTTTTTCCTTGGGAATGCCTATTATTGAATGGAGAGAAAAAGGTGCAGGGAGAACTGGTAATCTGTAACTATTTGGCACCTGACGTGGTATCACTTGATACGTGCGTTAAGTGGAGAATAACAGCAGTAGATTTATGAGCTGCCATCTCGAGGCCCTCCATACGTTGTCAGCACGACTCCTAATTTCAGAAGCATTGCTGTCCCATTCTTCATACATCATGTCTGATGCTCCTGCTATTCATCTGCGAGACACTTGTAAACCGGAGTAATTTTCTAAAGATGTCTGAGAAGTGGCTCTTGGGCTAAACCTCTACGAATCACTCATTTTCTGCAGCTTCAGAATAGGAAACGAGCGTGAGAGGCCACTATTTTTTAGGTCTGGCAGACCTGACCAGTGTCAGCTGACTTGAGCAGTATTCAGAGGTGTGTGGTATTTGGGAAGGGAGTGGATCCTGAGGATTCTCACATAACGAATGCCTTCTGCATTTGCTGGCATTGCTAGGAGGCGGGGGAAAGTACTAGGTAAGGTCTAGCTAGAAGAGCGGGGTTACTGTGAGTATCCCTGGGATGGTACCCACCCCCATACCATAGCTTCCTAGCTACCATGAGGTGAGCAGCTCTCTTCCACCACGCCCTTCCACCACGATGTTTCTGCCTCACAGGCTTCAAATCAATGGCGCCAGCCAACCGCGGATGCAAAGCTCAGAAAACATGAGCCAAAGTCAAGCTTTCCTCTTCTAAGTTATTTACTCAGGGATTTTGTCACAGTGACAAAATTTGCACATCCCGATGATTCCCAGAGTCTCAGGGAGGCAGATTTCCTCAACCCCCGAAGACGCCAGGAAGGTAATCAAGAGGCAAAGAAGGAGGTGCTGAGTCTTCTGCCCCTTGTGTCAGGCCTTGCTCTGGCATTTGTGTGTATGGGAAAGCCTTTCCTGCCCTGTTTTCCTGCAAGTTCTGGAAAGGTGTTGTGCTACTCTCCCTGCGCGAGTGTCCTCAGCTGGAGCCACCCCACTGTGGCTGTCAGGCCCATGTTTGCTCACTTGGCAAAGGAGGGACGGGGACCTCCGAGGTTGGGAATCCCTGGAGCCACAGGTTTCCTAAGAGTCGCCTGAGACTGAGTTCGTCAGTCTGCTTCCTGGCATTCCCGGATTGTAAACAGTGATGTCTCACTTGGGAGAACTCGGTCTCCCTTTAAATATCACATTATTCAAAAAAATCTCACCGACACTGAGCGCATTCACACTGCCTTTGAATGATTTTATGGTATTGGAGTAGAAGTTACATTAAGAAATTTCCAGACATGCTTCAAAAGAAATGAACCAGCTGAATTGTTGTTGTTGTTAGTCATGGGGCTTGAACTCAGGGCCTGGGCACTGTCCTTAAGCTTTTTCACTCAAAGGTAACACTCTAACACTTTGAGCCACAGCTCCACTCCGGTTTTCTGTTGTTATAATTAGAAATAAGAGTCTCCCACACCTCCCTGCCTGGGCTGGCTTTGAACTGCTAGCCTCGGATCTCAGCCTCCTGAATAGCTAGGATGACAGGCATGAACCACTGATGTCTGGCCCAACTGAAGTTTTCAATTGAAAAGTGAAAGTTTTAAAATGGGGGTCTATAAAGTAGGTTGAAGAAGAATTTCCTATAAAGAAGATTTTTTTTTATTGGTCAAAAAATCATAGAAAATGTGAGCTCAAAGTTATTAGAATGAATTTCTTTAAGTCATCTGAGTGTTTACTATGTATTGTGATTCTCCCACTAGAAAGATTTTATAGACACATACATATACATATATATGTGTGTATGTCTGTGTATATCTCCTTTTTTAGCCATTAACACTTATATGCTTCCCTCTACATAACATTCAGCTATTTCTCCTGTTAGAGCTATAAGTACTAGTTCTAGCTAAATGAATTTTCAAGAAAACCAATGTGTTCTTAAGTTCTTCAGTATAGAGGTATGAAAAATGGATTCTAGAGAGAGGAAATAATTTAGTCTCATGGCCAATTGAAATCTGTGTGTCTTAGAACCTAAGCAAAGAACTTCCCTTGCCACTGGCTTTTGCATCTCCCCCAACCCCCCTTTATTGTCACCTCCCACGGTGACATGTTACTGTCTGATGGTTTTTTTCTCACAAGCGGTGGGGGTTTTCAGCCCTCATTAGTACATAGCAGGTCACTTTCATGGTTTTGTGCACGCATGTGCACGTCTTCTCTCCATTTGCATCGGATTTGGATTCACGAAAACATTTTGTTTTTGAGCCAGTATTTTAGCGCTCCTATTAGCTTACCTTGATTTTTGAACTAGAGAAAAAAAAAATCACCAAAATGTGTCATCTTCTTTTGCAGCTGCCCTCATTAGAGGAAATCGCAAGAACTGTGCTCAGTTTTCTGGTTCCCTGGACTGGCTCATCAGCAGACTGGAAAGACTAGAAGCTTCCTCAGGTAGGTGCTCTGGTTTTCCCCTTGGGTGAGTGAGATGTTATTCCTGTTTTCCTCTATCTCTTGCTCTTTAAGTTATGAAAACAAATTCTGATTTTTAGTGCAATAGTAGTGTTTTCCTTTTAATTATTTGGAGATTGTCTGCTTATTGACTCAATCATTACTCTTGCCATGAGTTATTTTTGAGCAGCAATCTAACAATACCTTGTCCATTTACATGTTAATTAATTCAACTTAATTTAATTGTGAAATACTGAATTCTCCTTCTATTCTCAAATCAGACTCCTGATGTACTCTGTAAACAAAAAGGAAATTGCAGTCCTCAGTTTTTTTCTTGGTGTTCAAAGGTTATTTGGATAATTGGGTGGGGGTAGGGCTGAGGGTTGGTTTCACAAATAATACAGTACAATATGTTATTTCAAAAGGGATTTCTTAAATGATAACCAACCGTCGGTATAATAGGAAAATAGAAGCAATCTGCCCGTTGTGTGCCTTTCTGTCATGCTAGTTTTATTTTGGTGGGGGCGGACTTTTTAGTGATTGACAGGCTTTTCAGATGTGGGGGGCGGGAGTTCTCAGTGATAGGCTTTCCAGATGTATGTGGGGGGTGGAACTTCTCAGTGATTGACAGGTTTTCCAGATGTGGGGTGTCACGCCCACCTCGACCAGCAAGGAAGACGCGACACCGAGCTCTTCTCTCTGCAGTTTATTCAGGACCTTTGAGTAATCTTCTGACCCTAACCCCGGGGAGAATTCCCCACAGCCTTAAGTACCCGCTGGGTAGCCAACCCTGATACGCCATGTAGGATCCACCAATAGGTTCAGGTGCGCGGAAGCAAGCCAGATTCTTTGCCTTAGCCATATAAGGAGTTGTTTACCACAGAGAGCACTTGCCATCGGGAAGGCGGAGGGCGGAAGCTGGTGTCATCTTCCAGGTGTGGCCTCTTGCATCTCTCTACAGTTCCCCCTTTTTTGTTTAAAGAACACAGATGAGAACAGAGGTCTGATCCCTGTTGTGCAATGCAAGGACTGCATACAAGCCTTCTCCCAGAGGGCGCCTTCTCTAGGGATGACTCAGCCTGTCCATTGATTTGTTTTTCACAAGGACGGGAAAAGGCGAATCGAACCCGTATGCAATCAAACATACTCTCCTCGAGGGCAAAACTCATGCCTCTCGACTGCAGTACTTTGGCTTTGCAATCTGTGTTCATTGTTTTAGGGTGGCAAGCCACGCTTGGGGGGACTGACCTGCTCCAATGGCTGTAAAGGCTTGGATAATCATGGCTGCACTGCGATGCTGAGAACCTCTAATTTGGCAAATGCACCACAGACATACCAAGGAGGCTAATACCAGGAGGCCTGTCAGGGCTCCCAAACCCGCCCACTCCTTAAGATGATTCATAGCAGCGGAGATCCATGAAGATAACCCCTCCGCCAATCCGGCATCCACTCGGGTTGAGTTCACCATGACGATGGCAACCCTGAGCTGTTCCATCAGGCTGTCGAACTCCCTAGTTCAATTACCTAAAAGATAACTAGACAACTGTTTAAACAAATTTGCAGTGTTTTTTGAGTAGGTTTTTTCCTGGGCCTGAACTCTGGGCCTGGGCGCTGTCCCTCAGCTCTTCAGCTCAAGGACAGCGCTCTACCACTTGAGCCACAGCGTCACTTCTGGCTTTTTTCTTTTGCTTATGTGGTGCTGAGGAATCAAACCCAGGGCCTCATGCACTTGAGGCGAGCACTCTACCACTGAGCCAACTTCCCAGCCCCTTCCAAGCAGCATATCTCTGTCCCAAGCTGGGTTTCCCGCAGCCTGATTGGCCGAAGCCTCTTCACTAGCAAATTCAATCAAAAAGGCCTTCCAATCTAAATACTGACCGGGGCTCAAACAAGCTCGTGCGAGCCCACTCCAATCACCGGGTGTCATGCAGTGTCTGGTTAGGGCCTCCACCTGGGCCACAGTAAAGGAGGCCGTGATTCCGTATGTCCGCACAGACTCAGCTAAAGATTTTATCACCTTAAAATCTAAGGGTTCATGATACCGCTGCCCCTGTGGATCCTGAAATATTGGACAGGCTAGATGTAACTCGGTTCTGACCGCTTTCCACACGTCTGGGCTGAAAGAACAGCCGGAGCTGCCACTTCCGGGGTCCTCCGCATAGAGCGGAGGGGCCGAGGGTGCGGCACGGCACATGGAAGCCGTGCATTCGTCTTTATCTGGGTCCTCTCTCTCCTTCCCTTTCCTCCTCTTTCTTATCTTTGTTTTTTCTATTTGTTCTATGAGTGATTGTAGTTCCTCTGAGTCTGTAGACTCAGAGGTCTCTAGTTCGGCAAGATCGGGGTATAACCCCCTCCCACTCTTCCCCTTTTCGCTGTCTGCCCTTTCTGATCTTTCTTCCTGCAGCATTTCTAGGGCGGCCTGACCATTCTCTACTGCCTCACTGCAGCGCTGGTCCTCAAGACAGCCTCTTATCAGTTTCCATATTGGTCTCACTCCGCTCTTAAGCGTTCCTTGTTCAGAGGCAAAATCTAGGTCCCTCCCTAGTTTCTCCCAAGAGGTCACCATGAGGCTTCCGGAGACAGCGAACCACGGGGCAACGATGTCACATTCATCCAAAAATCTCTCTAAAGTACTCTTTTTTATTTTTAACTTCTTAGAGTGCAGTAGCTCATTGAGAGCCAAAAAAATTGGGTGCGAAGAAGAAGCGCCCATGTTTTAAAAATCTTAACCTGGTAAACAATCTTTTACTTTCACTTTTGGCTACTCTATTGACTAGCCCCGGGTTCTCGCTCTTTCCTCTTTTTTTCCTCCTTTCTCACTCTTTCTACAGAGAAGAGCAAAAATCCCCCCCCCCCCCCCCCCCCCCCCCCCCCCCCCGCTCTTGTCGCGGCTTCCCCCTTTTATCTGGGAACTGGGAACTTACCCCCGCTCTTGTCACGGATTCCCCCTTTACCTGGGAACTTACCCCCGCTCTTGTCGCGGATTCCCCCTTTACCTGGGGACTTACCGGTGCACCACCCTGACCGCAGAGAGTTCTGAGTCCTTGTTGGGGTTATGGCTGAGTACGGGCCACCACCTGTCGCGACCGCCTTGACCAGCAAGGAAGACGCGACACCGAGCTCTTCTCTCTGCAGTTTATTCAGGACCTTTGAGTAATCTTCTGACCCCAACCCCGGGGAAAATTCCCCACAGCCTTAAGTACCCGCTGGGTAGCCAACCCTGATACGCCACGTAAGATCCACCAATAGGTTCAGGTGCGCGGAAGCAAGCCAGATTCTTTGCCTTAGCCATATAAGGAGTTGTTTACCACAGAGAGCACTTGCCATCGGGAAGGCGGAGGGCAGAAGCCGGTGTCATCTTCCAGGTGCGGCCTCTCGCAGCTCTCTACAGTGGGGAACGGGACTTCGCAGTGATTGACAGGCTTTTCAGATGTGGGGGGCAAGAGTTCTCAATGATAGGCTTTCCAGATTTATGTGGGGGGAGGGGGGTGGGACTTCTAAGTGATTGACAGACTTTCCAGATGTGGGGGGCAGGAGTTCTCAGTGATAGGCTTTCTAGATATGTGTCAGGGGCGGGACTTCTCAGTGATTGACAGGCTTTCCAGATGCTCCCAGCTGTTGATCTTACTGAGCAGGGGGTTGGAAGTGGGGTGAAGAGGGAGAAGCCCACTCACCAGGCCCTCCATGGAGTTCCGTGTGAAAACCTGTGAATAGCTAAGTGAGGAGAGATGGAAGAGACCCAGAGGATTAGGGTCACATGGGGTCAAGTCTGCTGATCACTGATACCATGTTTTTTCAGCTTCCTTCCTTTCCCTAATTTTCATCTTGATTCTTCGTCTGCCACTATGAGCATGCTATACAAAGTGCAGGCGCTAGTGGCTCATGTCTGTAATCTTAGCTAATTAGGAGTCTGAGATCCCAGGGTTGTGGAGAGACTGGACTGAAGCCAGTCTGGGTAGTCTAACATTGATGGCCAGACAGCCGTGCAGGGGCCTTGCTGCAGGCACCGAGGGCAGAGGTCCCAAGTCTGCCGTGAGGGTCAGGTGCTGTTTGGTGCATGTTAGGTTTTTAAAAAAAGAGGTAGCCGAGTAAGAACCACACCATGCACATGGTATTCAAGTAAGGGGTAGGTTTATTCTGGCTAGCACCAGGCCATGTTGGCCCTCCATGTGGCTGGGAAAAGGCCTGAGAAAGAGGGCATCTGGCCCTGGGCTAGGCCTTATCTAGGGTAGGGGCCGGGGTGGGGTGGAATGGAGGGGGAAAGGTGTGGCCACATCCAGTCCAGATGTGACCTCCTCCAGGTGTGCCAATTGCCTAGGTAACGCAGGTACAGGTACTGGGCAGAGACTTTGCTGGAAGGAGGGTGGAGTCTGCTTGCCATCCAGGAGCAGACCTTACAGTGCGCTGTATGAATATTAATCATTTAATTCTCACAGCAGCCCTGAAGGGAGGATGCCAGTGTTGTACACAGTTTGCAGGTGGAAGAGAGACTCAGAACCAGGACAGAGCCAGCATTGGGGCCGGCATCTAAAACATCTAAATAAACCATCACACTATGCTGTCTCTTTACAGGTTCCTCGTGTGTGTGTGTGTGTGTGTGTGTGTGTGTGTGTGTGTGTGTGTGTGTGTGTGTGTGTGTGTATCTCATACTGAGGTTTGAACTCAGCATCTCAAGCAGGCACTCCTTCCACTGACCCATGACGCCAGCCATGGCTTATGCTAGTTATTTTGGAGACAGAGTCTTGCTTCCTGTCCCAGTGTGTGCCTGAGTTCTGAGCTGCCTGTTGTAGGCTTCTCATTGTAGTTAGGGTGGCAGGTCCTGCACCCAGCTTTCTACTGAGAAGGGATCTGGAGAGACCTTGGACCCCTTTCTGTCCACGCTGGCCTTGAACTGCGATCTTCCCAATCGGAGCTTGCCATGGCTCTGGGGTTACAGCCGGGAGCCAGCAGTGCATGGCTTCTTTAAAGGTGCTCACTGAGGGTGTGACTATTAATGGGATTAA